TGGCTTCACGACACTGCCAAGGATGGCCTCGTATGAGGGGGGGGGGGGGCCCTCGTTTGGGCTGGCCGTGTTTTGACGACTGCTTGGCATACATTCCCCGAATAGATAGCGCGAGTAATGTCGTGCCAAGTTGATGTAATTGTCTTTGGGTAAGTGTAGAGATGGACAGAGAGAAAAAAAACAATGGAAGGCCGCCAACTATTTTGCGGTGCCGAGAGTCACGGTCATTGGTTCACGTAACTTCACTTAGTCCAAGCGAGAGCTGAGCCAGCGTGCATCCAAAGCGCACTGTGACACTTTTACACATGTCATAATAATAACAACGTAGAATAATAACGAGCACGTAGATTCTTTTGAAGGATGATGCTGCCAAATATTCATAGTCGGGGGAGATGGGAGGGGCGATGATGGTGCTACGTGCGATCCCTTTTGAGTTATTGTCAGGTAAAGGTTTGGGAATTGGGATGTTTGGATATGGGAGGAAACCGGAGAACCCAGAGGGAACGAGTGCAGAACACGGAGAGAGCAAACAAACTCCGCATTGTCGGGCATCGAACCGAGGCAATTGTTGCTGCGAGGCCCATATATCACCACTGTGCGTAACCTGCCTTTTAATGAAGGCATCAATGAGTGCGCATGGCGTGTTTCACTCGAGAGACTCGGAGAGCTTAGCCCAGAGTGTCCTGAACTCCAGTCCTCGCGAGACAACGCCACTCTCACCCACTCCCCATTCAGATACTAGTTCGCTCGTTTCACGAGCACGCGCCTTATCTGGAATTAACCTCCCGGGCAAAAGGTGTGATGTCCGCATGTATATGCATGCCAACTCCTCTCATCGGTGAATTGTTCTTATCCACAGACAACAGCACTTTAAAAAAACAAAATTTAGCGATTTTTATTTTACTAGGTAAGGCCTACTGAGCAATATAGCTCCTTTTTTTAAGCGACCTGGCCACAATGACCGTTCAATGAAGTGGCTCATCATCATGTGGAAATGTACAGCAGCCAAATACTCTAAACGCGTGTTTCGAATCCACGACCTCCCGCATACCAGGCAAAGCAGTCAAAATCTCCGAGCCACCCTGGCATACGAGAGGAGTCGGACTGAAGGACAGAATGTAAATGTTAATCGCTCCATTGTACCAAAGGACTCAATGGCCACCACTGCAATGTAGAACTCTGCAACTAATACATTGGCATTGGAAGCTGTTTTAGCCAAAATCATGATCGTATGTATGCTGCATGTATTTGGTTATTCGTATTCCTTTTGCATATGGTGTCAATTTGCCTGTGGCCCAATTCCAAGTTCATTTCAACGCAGTGTTTTTTATTGCACCTGCAGAAATCCATCAATAAGTCACGGAAATGCTAACCCTAATTTCACTCTTGAAAGTAACCGTTTTTTTACCCAAAAATCCGAAACGCGTGAACATTTCCAAAAGGAATCCTTGGGCTTATATAGATTTCTACCAATCTCGCTCGTAAAAAAACATGTAACTTTTTCAAAAATGGAAAGCTGATCAATGTACGAGACAGTCTAAGTAGGATTAAGTTACAATCACGGCAATTGTGGTTTTAACATGTATTACCAAGAACACTGTATTTGATTTATATGTTAAGCTCTGCTTCCCGCTGAGTTTCAAACCACCATGCTGGAATGCCCTGGGGGGGGGGGGGTGTAGAGGGGAGCTTGCAAATGAGGTGAGGAAGGGCTGTGTTTCCTACAGCAAGGACTGTGCGATTTTGCATATTCTTTTAAACCCCACACCAAATGACAATCTCTCACTCAGGAGGAGGTTTTTCCAGGAAGGTTGCGAGACTCACAGATGCACAGGCACTCGCATGCACACAAAGACACACACACACCACGCACACTCACAAAGATAACGGTCCCCCGTAGAGCCTTAACAGACTGTAGAAGCAAACGCTGTTAACGAGCGGCACCTACGAAGGCCGACACGGTACACGGAAGCGTGGGTGGCCAGCACCATACCCAGCCGCCTTTGTCTCCCCAGTGGCGATGTTTACACATTGCACCAAACACTCATTTGAGGCTGAGTCGACCTAGGGTAGGTCCAGGACCGGGTCAGATAATCTGTCACTGGTGTTGAGCGTGATCGAGCACGCTAACCGTTGCGCCACCGCTCACCACACTCTCGCACTTGCACACACAGATGTGAATTGCAAAGGCAAAGGCGCAGCCCTTGCCTGCTCACGCCACTGCTGGCGGAAGGGCCTCAATTGGAGGAAGCTCTGGAAAGTCGCTCTGCACCCCCCAGGGTGGCCATTCTGGAACACCCTTCCACGGTTGACCAAACGCCTCGGAAGACTCGTCACATGCGATCTGCCGATCCACCGACTGTGCGGTGTTACCCATTTTCACCGCCGGGCGGACAGGGACGGGAGCATTCTACGTAACGTGCCCCGTCGTTTCAAGTGCCGCGCCAGAATATCGAATGACAAATGAACCACGGTACCTCGCTGATCTCATCAGGGAGCATTAACCACCACGCGAACTCCAGTCATCCTCGCAGCGGCTTTTGGTTATTCATCGAACAAAGACGGTCACCGCATCGTGCGCTTTAAGATGTGCTCCTGCGGCCACCTGGAATGCTCTTCCTTTCGATATTTGGAATTTACTGGAGCTATGCACTTTTAAATCTAGATTAGAAACTCGTGTCTTTAGAACAACTTTTTCTGTTAAGTTGTCCCTCCCCCGCACCTCCGATTAGCACGATGGGCTACGTACAGCGCGAAGGAAGTTGAACGCACCCACATGCAGATGGGTATTTTAGTCGTAATGCTGTATATGCCTGTCAACGGTGCCTCCGTGATAAGTCCCGGCGACATCACCCCAGTCCGCTGCCATACACTCGGGGCGTCTTCATCGCGCCATGCGCCGCTGGCTGGTGGGACGTGGTGAGACACGGCTGTATGCAAGTCATGGGGTCTCGGCGTTCAATTGGAAGTCCTCCATAGAAAAAAGTAAAACCTGTCACTTTGGCACGGAGAGATTTTGCTTTGATCATAACGCTAATGAGTGCCAAACACTCGTTGGTGGAATTGACCAGACATCTCAAGCGGTAGGACCTTCATGAAAGAGTGTCTTGAGACTTGTTGAGGCTTTCCGAAAGAAATAAATAAAGGCTCCTTCTATACTTACATCAATTAAATTAAGTAGCACATACTTTTTTACGAGTTTCTTCTTCCTTTATGATGTAAATATTTTGAAGAATTATGCTTACTTAAAGTTCACAGTTTCCATGCAATCCCTGTTACTCCTTAAAGTTGAAGTTACAGTTGTTGAACTGTGCGTGTCTCCGGGCTGTGTCACGTGGTCTCCATCGTGGAATTTCGCTCCATGTGCCGGGAGCTTCTTCAGGAAGTCGTCACATCTCGGACATCTCAGCACATGGAACAAACTGTCGGACGCTGTGCAGGTCACACATGCGGTACATCGGGGAGCTGTGAAGCAGCACAACCGTGAAAACCTAAAGTTGTATATATGATTCAACTGCTATCAGGTGTTGAATTACTGAATCAGAATATTTGTTTATACTGGAGGAATCCGATGAGCTATGAAGCTCTTTTCACAGATGTCCAGTCGAGGTGGATCACAACGTTTCAATCGCAAAACAGTACTAAAGCTCAATAGTTGTGCAAAGTATAGAAAAGGTAAACAATTCACACAAAGCATACAAATAAAACTAAACTATTTTTATATTACCAAGTAAATGATAGCTCAACAAGGTGGTTAATCACGTGGGAATGTATAGCAGCCAAATATCAGGCGATTCAAGTGATTTCAGCAGGTTCTAATCGAATAGACTGCCGATGTTATCCGTGACTGGGGATCAAAATCTGGCTGGTTTCATCCTGCAGTGTGCAATCCGCTCTGCCGCTAATCAATCCACCCTTTGCCATACTTCACCACACCAGTATGGGGACTCACAATCGGCGTCTCCCGGCTGGGTTGGCTTGGGCAGAACGGAGGCGCGAGAGCACAGTCGTTCATTTCTAGTGGTTCGTGACATTCGTAATAATCATAAATATAATAATACATTTGCCTCCTCCTTGTACCAAGTGAAGATTCATTGATCCGAATGTAATTTCTGTAATATAAAATAACTAGAGCTCGTGAAGCAGCTCATCAAACAAGTAATCTGCTCTTGTCGCTAGGAAAATGCTAAAATGTGCGGGAATATTTAACAATGACGCATGGGTTGTTAAAGATAAAGTTCCGTGGTTCAAATGGAAATGTGTTCCAGTAATATCATAAAGAGGCTCTAAGCATTTATTTCACATTGTTGAAAAATGCTTTCTTCGATACGTTTGTGTAATAGCCAATGAATGTGATTCTGCAGCAAGGGCTGACAAAGGAACGCGCGGAATTTAATCCGTTCCTTGCACACGCGATTCTTGGAACGGTGCGCTTTAAATGCCGGATAGCTGCATAGAAAAGTGCCCTCCTAAGTCCTCAGGATGGTGTCACTATGTACATTTTGACAAGTGCATTACGTGCTCTGTGTTGCTAAATAATGCTGTGACAATGCTCGCCGTTTATCGCCGTCCAACGATACCAACGTGGTTAGTTTCTCGCGTGTATAGTCTGAATTGACTCTACGTTTGGTTCCACGTGGTTGCTTGTGTCTTTACATGACGCAACAACAACAAATGTGATTTGATATCCGAAATCATGACAATTAAAAACGTGGAGGTGATGATTCACTTTTGTCTTCCTCGTCGTTTTAACAAGCAACTTAGATCATATTTTTTGTATGCTTCTAGAGCAATGTGTACACAACAAACAAATTGCACAATTCACGAATATCTGGCATCGCGGTGCCCGGTTTTGCACGCGAGAGAGAGCGGCACTCATGGCGCCCGTGCCTGCTCCGCCCAGGCGGTGCACGTTCCACTGCTCGTAGCAGCCCGCGCTGTTCCCTGCGTGGCAACGTGTCGGGACGGCATGCTGACGGCCGCTGCCTTCCTCTCCGCAGTACAAGGCGTCACCACGCTGGGCCACGGCAGCACCACGGTCCCCGTCGTGACCGCCGGGCGGCCTCGGGGGACGCCGACCACCCCGTCGCTGACTGACCATCTGCCCCCAGAGGTATGTATACTACACGCGCATGTTGAACTTCTGTCGCGCCGTACGTAGCCAACTGTGCTAAACGGAGGTGCGGGGGAAGGACAGCAAACGAAACACGAAAAGTGGTTCCGAAAAAATTAGTTTTCAATCTCGATTTAAAAGTGTATTATTCCAGTGGCTTCCAAATATTGGAAGGACGAGCGTTTCAGACGGCCGCAGAAGCGCATCTGAAAGCGTGCGATGCACTTGACCGTCTTTTTTCGACGGTATAAAATTTACGAGCTGAACCACATTGTGCATCGGCCACGTGGAATAATTTTCTGAACCCTCGTTCTGACTGTAACTTAACACCTTCCCTAATTTCAGGCATTACGGCACCGCGAGAGTCTTGAGTGAGTGAGCGGGTAAACAATTTCGTGGGTGGATTAATGGAAGAGAGAGTGAGAGAGTAAGAGCTTGCGAATGGGTGGGTGAATTGATGATTGGGTGGGCGAGTTCAATGAATGTGTTGGTGAGTGAGTGGGTGGGTGGCTGATGAGTGAGTGAGCACATGAAGGAACACGGGTGAGTGGCTAAATGTGTGAGTGAGTGGGTGAGTGCGTGATAAATTTAGTGAATGATTAAACAAGTGGGCGAGTGGGGAATATAGCGAGCGAGCAAGGGTTAGTGGATAAACTAATGAGTGCGTGAGTAAGGGTTAGTGAATGCATGGGTGAATTGGCAAGCAGGTAAATTTAATGAATGTGTGAGCGAGTGAGTGTGTGAGAATGCAAGGGTGAGTGAGTGAATGGGTAACCGTGATTGGGTGCGTGGATGAATGAGTGAGTGACCATGTGACGAAGCAATGGTGAGCGGGTAAGGGAATGAGTGACAGAGTGAGTGGGTGGGTGGGCGGGTGAGTGAGTGGTTGAGGGGATGACTGAGTGGATGGGTGGGCGGGTGAGTGGATGAGAGAGTGAGTGACCATGTTAGAAGCGACGCTGAGCTGCTAAGTGAATGAGTGAGTGAGAGGCCGGGTGGGTGAGTGAGTGAGTGGGTGAGGGGATGACTGAGTGGATGGGGGGGTGAGTGGATGGGTGGGCGGGTGAGCGGATGACAGTCTTTCCCTAGAGATATGCATTGCGAGTTGCACACAGGAATAATAACACGTGTTCTAGCAGTAACTTCGCACTTACCTTGACATCCGGTCTCACAACAATATTAAAGTCACAGTGGGCAGCACGGAGCCAATGTCAGAAATTCCACATTTGCATCATATGAGACTCTATATAGCCACTGGTGATCTCACAAAAAACGGTATTCATTTGATTAACTTTGATGGGATAATAGATGGATGCTGACACCTGACCGGGATTTATAGTCATGCCCTTTTCCACTTTAGCAGGAAAATCACTCTCACCTCGGCAGCGCCTGGTGCCAGTGTCACAATAGAGGTCCATTTAAATGTTCTCTTTTTTTCCCTTTCTCTCTCATTAACGCAAGTTGATAGAGCAAATAAGGAGTAAGTGTATAGTCTACGTTCACTACTGGTCTAATTATGTAATGTGTGTACTGTATTGTAATCATTTACAGTGCTGGGAATACTTGTCTCGTTGAGCCCTTTGTAACAAAATTCAAAGTCCAGTGGTGGCCACGTAGCCCCGACGAGCCCCGTGGGGGTCTCTCCTCTTCTCTGCCCGGTGCCTAATTATGACCCGTGCCAACATTCTAACTTTAACCCCGTTTAATAATTTGTCATTGCCATTTCTGCAGAGCAATTGAAATGTATAATTTCCTCTGATTAATGTGGTTAGTTCACCATATGGGTGAAGATTACGTAAATCTTTTAATTGCAACCTTGGCGCCACATGCCCCTCCTGTTACACGGTGCCAAAGTCTATGCCCACCCACTACTGGTCTACGATAAGCGAGTTTCAACCTTCTTAAACTATTTAAAATAAACTATTTGTATTTTACCAGGTAAGACCCACAGAGCTAGATAGCTATTTTTCAGAAGCGACCTGGCCACAAATGACAGCTCAATAAAGTAGCTTATCATGTGGACATTCGTAGCAGCTGAATGCTCTCAACGCATGTTTCTAAATGTGGAGGGAAAAACCAGAGAACCCAGAGAAAAATCAACGCGACCACGGGGAGAGACACACGCAAACTCCAAATATATAGGCGTCAGGGTCGGGATTGAACCCACGACCTCCTGTATACCTGGCGAGGTAGTTAACATATCGCCGCCCCGTGCCCCCCTCTATCAAGACCACTGGTCTACGTGACCGCCCCACCCTCCCGCAGACTTCGTGCCCCTCCCCCCACCGCCCACAGGTTACTAAGGCCACGACACGCAGAGAGATCGCATGTCCACTCCTCTATTCGTGTTCATAAAGCATTTGTTAGATGTTGTGAATTAGTGTGCAGCAGTGTGTTCCCCATGCCCATTCAGAATTTCTCCTGCTTGGTATCCACACCGCAGCCTGCCCTCTTACCTCTCCCATCCTTGCCGAAAGGCTTGGAAGGGGTGCCCACGTCCACCCCACCGGATGTGAAATGCCGCATTAGGTGAATGGCCTTCTTTGTTTACAACCAGGTCAGAGCCCGGTGAGATCGAAAGTTCCTTTTGCAAGGGAGATCTGCGCCTCGACTGTAGCGTAGCCTTCAAGATGGCCTGTACATTGTTGGGGGAAAGAAAAAAAACTCAACACATTTGTCAATAACGCTGAGCCTTAAAAGCAAATATTAATATTTATAGATAAAATAGGCAACGTTTTGGCCAATGGCACTTCTTCGCATGCTATTATACAAACATGTTTTTCTGTTATGTATGTTTACTTTGTGGGCAATGGCCCATCTTCATAGCGTGCGAAAAAGCAGCCAGTGCACAAAGCATATCCTATTCTAAGTATTTTTATTTAAAGGCTGCAGTGTTATTGATGAATGTGGTGGTTTTTTTACTGTTAATTGTGCTGTGCACAAATGCCAACGCAGCAGCACCAACGCATTTGTAAATGGAGTTGTATTAAATCCAAATGACACTTTATTTAACGAAAATGCTCGACATTGGCAGAGTTGGTGAAAGTCAACGCTCCGACTTGTTTGAGCGTTGTCGAGTGTTCTGAAAGCATAGGCAGCCTTTTGTGAAGGTTAATGTGTATTATCTTTGTCGCTAGTGGTATTTTTTGTAATTTTTTTGTTGATGGATGGTGTTTCATATGAACTGATTGTTAAATTAAGTTAATGTGTTTTAATATTTAGTTTTATTGATGTTAAACCCTGTCTGTAATATTGTTATGAGCTCACATATGGCAACCCCACGGCTCCACTCACAACCAACTGCCCGTCCTTCGCACCAGTAAATGCCCTGCCAGGACATTGCACATTTAAATCTCTTCTCCAGGACTCCACCTTGCCCTATGCCCTCCCAATACCCCCTTTCCCTCGCCTCCCATTAGCCTCACCACCTCGCACGACCTTTGCTGTAGCCTCAAGCCCCCCAACACATTTTCGCCAGCCGACCCACCCCCCGCCTACCGATTGTCGGAGTATCCCTCAGTTCTAACCGTGAGAGTAATCTGTGCCCTCTCTGTCGCTCCTCATCGCCCTAACCCACAAACGTCACTTAAACCGCGCTTCCGATGAGCCATGGTTGGTTACGTACGGTGCGAAAGAAGTTCAACGTACATCAACACAAACCAGGATGGGCATCCATAAATTTCCATCGAGTTTATTTTTGTATTTTTTTTTTTATCATGGTTATTGAGTACAGGCCCAATGGCCAAAAACACCAAGCGGCCAGCAACACGTTGTGGTAGATAAGAGTATATACACTTCATGAGCGAGATCGTAATAACGTGGGAATAGAGTCGATGGGAGGGAATTCCAAAGGCGGAGCAGCTACTTCATTCTCTTGTGGCTGTTGACAAAAAAAAAAACTCATGTATTTCAAATGTAAAACAACTATAGTACAGTGTATGCTTTTTTAGGATGTGCTCAAATTCTGCCTCACATTTTTTCCAATTAGAAACCGGCGGCCATTTTTTTTCATAGCTGTAATGTTGCCCTTGACAACACCATCAAAACCCCCATAACCCCATTCCAATCACAGCCGTCTAACCCAGGTGACCTCTTTCCAACTAATCACAGAACCACTTATCTCTATGTGGATTCCTTTCGGCCAATAGGGAGACCGCTTGTGATTATATAGACGGTACACGATGTAAATTGGCCAATGGTAAAACGGCCATAAACTTCTGCATTTCAGTGTAATTTTAACACAACTTAGTCTTGTAAAAAAATGTGATTTCACATTTGAAAAAGAAATCTGCTTACAAAAATACAATTGATAACACAGCTGTATGGGGGGTACAAATAAAAATCTGAACTTTAAAAACATACCAATTTGGAAAAATATGCACGCTACTGAAAAGAAAAGCTATTTGGCATTGAGATAATATTTATTCTCATTATAGAGCGGCAACATTTAATTAAATTCAGGAAAAATATCAACATGAAGAAAGTTTGTATGTGTATATGTCTTTGTTATGTATATGTGGGCAGTAGTAGTGCAGGGATCAGCATGCTGAGCTATGAACCCAGCGACATGAGTTCAATTCCCACTCAAAGCCAACACCAGTCACGATTAACTGAAGTGATCCTAGGCCTCCCCTAGGTCGACTCAGCTTCAAATGAGTACCTGGTGCGGTGTGTAAACATCGCGACTAGGGATGCACAGGCGGTCGAGCATGGTGCTGGCCACCCACCCACTCGTGTGTCATGCTCGCCGTCGTAGGTACATGCTCACAGCAATTGTCCCAACAGTCTGTTAAGGCTATACAAGGTATCCCCGTCTCTCTCTGTATATATGTGCGTGTGTGTTTATGCATTACACAGGCACTCCTTTATCACATTTATCTAAATTTTGTGTCACCATTTTATTCGAAATGCCTTGCCTGTCAACTGCATCTAGGGCAAATAATCTCCTCATATTGAAAATAAACTTTTCTGTAAGTTTTGTCATTGCAGCAAATCGTTGTAAAAGTACATGACCAGTGTCAGCAACTTAGGGTTTATATTTTTTACATTATTTATACGGTGGCATAAAGCAATAGCTTAACTATGCGGTGATTTTTCATTGCGCACACTTGTGCGTTACAGAAACAGCCAGCAACAGTTGTGAACTCCTGACCTGAATTTGTAAGTTATTATTAGCATAATCAGCACAAACTAATTCTTTTCCACAAAATAAAACAGTTTTTTATAATGACTGACCGTGAAACTTTACTAAATCATAATGCGCTTTCTCAGAGGATTATGGGTCATGAAATTTTAAATACTGGGCTAAACAGGCCCCATGATACATAATTGCAGATGTTTCTTGCCTATGGCACCAGGCCACCCAGAAACATTTGTTTAACTAGGCCACACATTGCAGATGGTATTTGGAGAAAGTCAAAATCGCACCTCAGCTTGCCTTGCTTAAACAAATTCTGCTGGGAAACACTGATTCAGGATCCCGAAAAGCTGGTGGCCGTTGATCCATCGTAGTTCCTGTGTTCAACCTGTTGTTTCTCTCTTTGTCTCCACCCCGTGTATGCCGACTGGGGTGAGGGGTGCGTTGCGGTTGCACCCGAGTCAAGAGCCGCATGGCTCACAAGGTTATACCTAATACATGAAACTGAAACTGAAAACCCCTGTCAGTTGTTGATACGGGTCACCCTCAACAGATAGTGTTACTTGCAATGGGTTCCCATCTGGTTAACACACCGGACCTGCACTCCAGAGCTAACCGATCCTATCTCCCGCCGCGGCAGTTGAAGCAATGGTGCACGCTTCTTAAACCACTCCGCCTCCGTCCACCCGGCAGTATAATTGGGTACGCCGTAGTTAGTCGATCGGCAGGTCGCGTTTGTTGGGTCCTCGCACCTCTTCAAAGGCATCTTTGCCCTCCAGACTGGCCTCTCCAGAGCTCCCTCGAGTGGAGGCACTTTCACCAGCAGTGGCAAGAGATTCTCGGTTCTGAACCTTCCCTTGTATCACCAAAGGACCTACTGATGATGATTGTTGAGATGTTATTTTACCAGGTAAAGCCCACTGAGCTCTTAGCCGTTTTTCAGAGGTGGCCTGACCACACATGACAGCTCATCCAAGTGGCTTATGACATCATCACTTGTGGGAATTCATAGTCACAGACAAATCATCTAAATGCACGTTTCTAAATGTGGAGGGCAAAACTGGAGGACCTGGTGAAAAATACACGCAACCACAGGGAGAGAGAGAGAATACGTAAACTACAAATGTATAGGCATCGTCAGGGTTGGGATCGAACCCACGACCTCTTGCATAGCAGGCAAGGGAAATAACATCTCACCAGTAATGAAAAAGGCCCTTCCCTGTTGTTATGTTTTTTTATTACAGCACATACACATGTTTAGGAGATAATCATTGAATGAGAATTTATGGTGTGGTTGTACCAAAGTAGTTGCTCACGATAGTTGCGGGGTTGGTTTCTAACTAGAATAACTACCTCAGTTGTGTCTCAGAGGGGCGTGTGTTTTATGTGTTACGTTTGTTTACAGCAAGGCGTTGAAGAATTGTAAATTCGTTCCATTTGATTGATTGTGATATTTTTACGAAATTTTGTGGCTCAAAGTTTTGTTTTTTCTTTTCGGTCATTGATTTGAACATGTAATTAATAACTTGGTACTTTATATAAAAAAATCCCAACGTTTCCTTTTTATTTAACTTACTTTTTTTTATTTGTGCAGATTTGTATTTTATGCAGTGCACACATTCTCCGCATTTTATTCATTTCTAGATTTGCACCTCAGGTCTCCTGCAACAGAGAATCCCAACTCAATGTGCACTCGTGTACAGTGTGTGTGGATTGTACACGTGCAGCCCTCTCTGTGTATCCACTGCTGGATGAGAGCTATTTGACCATACTTCACCACGCTGGTCAACGCGGCTGGATGAAGGCTCGGGAGCATAGCCATAGGGCTCAAAAGTACAGGACAAATATAGCACCGCAGCATATACCACCTGTTATGCATGGTAGTGGCCCATCCCAGCGCTATGCAGGCTCTAGCCTGCTATGCTTCCGAGATCTGACGAGATCGGATGCTCTCCTGGTGGTTATGTTGTCTCTTTTGTGCTCTCGCCTGGTTATAAATGAATGTAGTTTGTGTCTGTGCGTGTGTGCCTACCGGGGTGAGGGGTGCGGCAGTGGTTAGCGCTGAGCTACGAACCCGACGACCCGAGTTCGATTCCCGCTCACGACCAAAACCCGTGACGATTATCTGAACTGTTCCCGGGTCTCCCCTAGGTCGACTCAGCCTCACATAAGTACATGGTGCGGTGTGTATAAATATCACCACTCAGGAGACAAAGGTGGTCAGGTGTGGTTCTGGCCATCCGCCCTCTCGTGTGCCGTGCCAGCCTTCATGGGTGCTACTCGCTGACAATACTTGCCTCCAACGGCGTGAAGGCTATACGGAAGATCTTTGTCTCTGTGTGTGTGTGTGCTGTCCATGCGTAACACACTGCTGAGAGTTCAAGAGGGATAGCACGCATACATAATTGATATCGGCTGCACATATTTCAGATGGGTCCCCTCAGCACTATTTCATCTCTATTCGACTTTGGTAGATTTGACGCCATTATCCAAATCACACATTTGCCCGCGTGTACAACTTTAACCGTTGAGCCACAACACTTTCGCGCGCGGTCTTTTCCTGTACATTCTGTTCGATTCAAGGCGAATGGTGCACCCTATTTATTTCTCGCTTGCTCGCGGCGTGCAGGGCGCACGCCCGCGGGAGCGGGACAGCAAGCTGGGCCCGGCCGACCCCCAGAGCACGGCCAAGCCTCCCAGCCTCCCCAAGCAGACGCAGAGGCCCAACCTGCTGCCGGTGTTCTGCGAGGGCGAGCAGAGCCGAGGCATCGCCTGGCCCCGCACCGCCGAGGGCAAGACCGCCGAGCGGCCCTGTCCCACGGGCACCACCGGTATTTCATCGATCGGAGTTCGTTTTCTTTTTTTTTACGATCCCTTTTATCCGGTTTCGCAAGCTGTTTTACGGAAAGGTTAGATCCGTGGGTGCGTGAGCGCAACAGCAGTCACGAAATCAGAGAGACAAAAAATAAAACGTCAAGAAATATTGCCGAGAAGGAGCGAAGGATCCGAAAGGAGTCCATCCGCCGCAGAGACGGAGCAATTAAATCAGCTCGTGTACAGGTGCTAGGTGGATAGTTTACCAATCACGAGACTGTGACAGATTTTAAACTATTTTATGAACGACTATTATATTTACCAGGTTAGGCCCACCGAGCTTACATAGCTCGTTCTGAGATGCGACCTGGCCACAAATGAAAGCTCAACCAAGTGGCTTATCACCTGGAACTTTATAGCAGCCAAATACTCTGAATGCACGTTCTACATGTAGAGAGAGAAACCACGCAACCATGGTGAGAGATACATGCAAACTCCAAATATACAGCAGGTGTCACAGTCGGGATGGAACCCACGACCTCTTGTATACCAGGTGAGGTAGTTAACATCTGGCCACCGTGGCATCATGAAGTACCAGCGCCAGCCCCATGCTTCCAGGGACAGCGCCAGTAACTGTGCAGAATTTTAAGTTCTTTGTCTGGCTGCTGTTCCTTTTCTAGAGACGTATTTCTGCCCCCAAGTACACTTTATATTTTCTGCAGTCGTACAATCTACCACTCACCATCTGCGCATGAGCTGGTCTCATCGCCCGATCTTCCTCGGTGTCTTCTTCTTGGGCGTGTTTTCCTCCTTTGACTGCCATTCCCTTATCAGTCTCAACCGTTGGTCATCATCCTCTACAGTGATAGCTCCTATCCCAAACCACTTACTCTTCCTCAAAGTAAACATCATGACTCCAATCTGTTCTCCAATTCATGTGTTCCTCTTGTGTCTTTCAGCGTAATTCACTCCAAGTACGCATTTCTCCCTTGTTTTTTTGGTACATTTATGTACATTTATAATATTCAGTGTCAGAATGATTATAATGCTCTTAATTTACCCAGAGCAGCCTCATTTATTCTTAAGGCTTTTTCCCAATAGAGCTCTGCTTTCACAAATTTTGGCCAATTCTATTAATGAACGTTAGCAATATGAGCGGAAACCAGAGCACCTGGGGAAAAACAATCCATGCTTACGATGGGGTAACACACCAAGGTTCGTACAGATAGTTTAAAACATGTATTGCTGTTCTGTCATCTCCTGGTCACATTGCAGCTCAAGCCTGCAACACCCAAGAAGTCATTTTTCAAAGTACAAACCAAGCACAGCACTGTTTAACATCTGAGATCTGATGAGATCCACCACATCTACGCCTCTATATAAGGAACGAAACAGGTGGACTTCTCCACAAATCTGAAGCTAGTTGTAATTACTGGTGAAACGTCGTACTCAGATTGTAAATGTTGTGGCTTGGCTCTCCAACACACCGGTTAGTGCTGTACTAGTGCGGAATTGGTACGTTCTGTTTACGTGACAACCCTTACTAGTTGGCTGTGTCGGTTGGTGGTGGGTTTTAACGACACATTTATATATTTACGCGATCTAACCCAAAAAAACCTCTATTTAAGAAGAGTAATAATAATAATGCCAAACATAGTTCCAACACGCCTTTATACATACATGCATAGAAAGACTTTGCATTGTGAATTTAGACTCAGGGTGGTTTCCTGATCACACTCAAGAGTTGTGATGCTCATTGCCACGGCTGGAGAGGGTGTTACTCCACACAAGAACCGCCGCCGTTGAAGGAAATGGAATCAAAATTGTACGCGGTTGTTTGTTGGCAAGTTGGGTCCCTGGCAAGAGTGGTGATAAAATACCCCTTGGCACTGAAAAGTATTCTCTAACCTTGTTATAGTGTTGTTCGTGTGGATTGGGAAAGCCTTACCGAAAGCTACTTTGCTTGTAACACTGCATAATAATAATAATGATGATGCACTCTTTGACGTAAGCTGATCATTTATATGAAATTGCACTTGGAGATAATGAAGCATATATTTGTCCTCCATTATTGAAAGGACATTAGTAAAAGCTGTCTCTAATGGATGCTTGGCATAGAAGTTTTCTATTTGAGTAGACGCCACATGCATTACGGCATCCATTTACAATCTGGGACATGTTCTGCATTCTACCGTTATCATCATCAGCAGCAGCCACCATCAATCTACTGCTGAATGAATTCCTCCCCAAGCTGCCTCCATCTCTAATGAGTTTCTAATAATCCATATAGCACCCTTCACACGTGCTCGTTTCATCGCTTCGTCTCCCCGGTGAACGGTGTCTCAGACGCGTTCCATTCCTTGGCTGCCACTCGGTCATTATCCTTGACCTTTGTGCTATCACCGCCACTGGCGATTGTCCTGCCCAAGCAAAAACAAAGCGTAACACCCAACACATTCTAACAGTATATCCCCATAAAGAAAACACGGACTGATATGATGCTCATTCGCCATGTAGCTGAAACAATTCCTTCTTGTGTGTTTTAATGACGGTTTATTTTTGCACATTTATTTGTTCTCTTGGCGTAAATTAGAACTTGCTGGTATAAATTGTACCATTCTCTTGAACTGTAATATGTTTGGTAGTCAGTGTCCACTCGAACAAAGCTGTTCACGTGACATTTCAATATTACCCATTTGTCAATATCCTTCATCGTGGCCGCAAACGCTGCGTACAGTGCGAAAGAAGGTCAACACACACGCACGCAGAGCGCCGATTTGTGTAAACTGCCATCTCCCACTTCAAGTGAGGCAATCTGGCTTTTAGATGTCTGCCCAGTGTGGTCCTTCCCTCAGCAGTGGCATTGCGCAAGACATTGCAGGGCTGCACTTTTTCCGATTAGAAGCCCTTTCTTAAGCTTCCGTGAAGTTTCCGCTTGTTATTCTTTTCTGGTGTCTCAATCGCTAGCGCATTAGCATTTCAATCTTTGCGTGCACTTTACTTTAAATAATGCAAATTGAGTCCCTGCAAATAGGTATCTCGTCTCTGTATTAAGTAACATTTACCTCACACGTGTGAGTAAATTACACCACGGAGAGAAACCGCTTCTTCTCTTATGCAGCTGTGTGTCAATTTGCAGTCCTGATGATAGTCTGTGTGAGGTACTGATTACCATTTTTTTTAAACTGATCAGCATCCAACCAATTCTCTTAATAATTGTCTTGCCCTGCAATACAAATTGTAAGCTGAGCTCGAAGTAAAACTGGGAAGAGTGTGAAGAGTTCAATCCTCCAACAGGCCCCGGCCTGCTGTCTCTTTTCCCATGATTACTGAAGTCCACCGAAACTGCGCTGGGCTCGTAATCTTGCCAGGAAAACCGGTTTGGGCAGAAATGTTTGTTATCGATTTGCTCGGATCCCTGCTTCAGAAGCACGACCAGAATTAGAATCATGCCCCATTACAGCCGGGATGAGCCCAGGAACGGTCATAATGTCTCGGGGTCACTTTGCCAAATCTACACACGTGTGTGTCCCCCACGTGACTGACGTCGCTCAAACAGGATATGATTCGACTTTTGTTTTACTATATTTGGCTATTTGTTTTTATTTCATCACTGAGAATAAAACATATTGGTTCATTGTCACGTGGCAAATCGTTCTCAGCAGCATGTGGGAAAGCACGTCTCCTAACTGTGTCACGGTGACAGGGCCACTGGAGGGACTCTGTGCAGAAGTCCGGTAAATAATCTCCTCTGACACGTGGGATGCACTGCTCTGCCAGGTCTCCAAATCGATTCTCACTCTCATGACACGGTGCCGATAGCGCGGTTATAACACATTCAGGGGTGGGTGAAAATAAGCGCAAAAGAGAAATTGCTGAATGTAACTCACACTCACATGCAACTTTATTTCAAGTAAAGTATTTTTGATCTCTTAACCATAACCTTCTAAATGCAGAGAGTAAGGAAACCGGATGAAGTGGAATTAGGCTTAGCCCATAGAGCCTAGTTTGTATATCAGGCGTGGGATCTGTGGCCTACTGGTCGTGGTCCATTCCTGAGCTGTTCCTGGGCTAGCTGAACCCAATTGGGAGTTGTCTTAAGATTGAGGGAAAGTGTGTTATTATCCATCTGAATGGAGACGAGTCAGCACAAGCGCAAAGCATGTGGGGGTTTAAATAAAACAAAACTCTGGTCGCCACACTGTGACTAAGACAACTTTATTGCACAGGTAGCACAATTAGTCAAAGGGAAATTCCAGAGGAGATACTTGAAGGGATTCACAGAAAGGAAAAGTGCAAGATCAGCAATGCACTACAACAAAGGCTTCGTTATCCCGGGTTACCGGTGTTTCTGCTGTTGTGATAAGTTCTCGGGCACTTTTGCAAAGCCTTCGCCGGTGTCTCGATCTGTGTGCCGATTTATACAGGCACAGCACTCTACCACTGCCAAGCTATTAAGGGGCACTGGCTGGCTAAAGGACCCGACTTCAGCAACTGCACCTCTCCATGGGTCTACCAGATTGCACAAAAGGTAAATCTGCAGTTGAGCGGCGCAATCTTTCACACGGTAAGAATAATGGCCTGCGTGTTGGCGCCATTCGAGGTTGTGCTTGGCTCTGCAACACAGAGCAACTTCGACCGAACCCCGGGTTGAATTGCGATGTTGCATAGGCAGCGCCGGGCCTGGATTACATGCTTGCCACATCGGAGTTACAAAAGACCAGGGGACATGTTGTGGGAGATGAATATCTCACAATAAAGGAAGAGAGGAGAGCTACATGATAAATCAACATGGTTGAATAATTGTGTAGATATGTTTAATACTGCAACTGGATTAATCTTAAATTCAAGGATGTTTTTTTTCAATCATAAGACCACACAGGCACCTATTCTTTTCGAGAGCTCTTACCACACTTCCTGGGCCTGGCCGGCCAGGCGAGAGGGGAGGGTAGGAGTCGGACCTCGACTCTATCGTGTATAGGCACGGGCCATTGCTGATTCGTGTGCAAATGTGTTGCCAATCTGAAGCAACTACGTTGATTGGTTTTTAACATGGAATTTTGCACAACATTTTTGAAGGATGCAATAAAGTCGCATGTATAATGGTTGCACTTAATGTTGGCTTAAGACTCGATACCCTACAGGCTATGAGGCATGAGCCAATTAAAGTTACAAGCCAAGGTCACGGTGCTTAATGTGAGTTATTTAAATCGTGTGACCGAAACGTTCGATACATGAGCGGCTATGTAAAGCTGGAGTTGTAGATATGAAATTGTTTCCGTTATATAAATTAGATTTATGTTTCAATGTACAGAGTTGAGGATAAATGTTAAAGGGCCGTTACGAGAATAACCATTTACAATAATAATCGTGAAGGTTTATTGATAACGCCAAAAAACACACAAGTCTTGTCTTGCCACATTAAATATAAAACTACATCGGCCTATTGACCTTCCAGGATAAAAAAAAAACATCTTCAGCAGTCTCTGGACTGATTTGTACTGGGTGAGCCTCATCAGCAGGTCTGTTGAGCAGAAATAATAATAATATGTATTATTAATATAGAAAGGACTCAGCGAGGTTTAAGATTCTATTTCTCAGGAGGATCACACAACATTGGAATGTTGGGTAGTATATCGAGATGTTGGGAGGATATCGGAATACCCAGTGAATGCCCACACAGCAGACGGCAAAACAAAATGATACAGCTGTGTAGCCTGTTTTCTGTGCTGTCACCTCCAGGTCACCTCACAGCATCTGTCGACTCTATTCTTGCGTACGGCAATATGTTCAGAAGCTAAAAGCCATTGTCAAAGTCTGCTAGCCAGGAGAAGGCTTCAGGAGAGAGATTATATAGTGTTGCTATTCCTCTGTTGAAGGAGTGCCGACTAGTTCTTTGCGATATGGTTTTTCGACTGATGACTATATCAGATTCAAAGCACAGCTAACAGAAATTATTACACATCTCCAGTTACAAACAAATGTGTGTATAGTGTTCTTGCTATTAATGGGAGCTCAACCGTAACATGGTTGTTGGTTGTCTGCGTGCTTCATGCCCGGATACAAGAAGGGAACCGCCACGTGTGTTTCTGCCTCAGATAAAGAGCGGCGAGAATGCCGCCAGCGTGGCAGGCGAGCTGGCCAAGGAGACCCGCGGCACCATCTACGCCGGAGACATCACCTCCTCTATGAAGCTCATGGAGCAGCTGGTGGACATCCTGGATGCACAGCTCCAGGAGTTGACACCCACGGAGAAGGAGCCCTCGCCCCGTAGCTTCGTCAAGGTAACGACGAGCGGCTGCGGCATCATGGAAATGCGGAGCATCACCTTGGTCGCCAAATAATTGTTTTTTCCTGTTGCGTTTCCACGTCCACGCAGACGTGAGCAGGCCGTGTGGACCGAACTGAGTGGGTTTGGCCCAGCCTCCCCTGACAGCCTTGTACCTCTTTTCCACTGTACAACCAAGCCGTGCCGGAGTGGCACGGCACAGCTCAGGTGCTTTTTCCATTGCGGAACCCGAGATGTGCTGCTGATGTCACTCGTAATGAACAAGTACATTTTATCAAGTGTGCTCAGGACAAACCATATTAATCCTGGCCCTGATTTGGCCCAGAACCAGATGTCAATATCTCGTGAGGCCAGAGATTTTCACCTTTTGGTTCTGGATTGGTTCGGCAAATAGCCAGTGTAAAACCATCCATACTTGCGAGTGCCCTACGCTGGCGTGGCTCTAATGTGCCAGTGGAAAAGGGGTATTACTGGGCTGTCATGGCACTAGTTAGACTCTGTATTATGGGATGTGCAGCTTCTCTTCAGAAGTGGGCACATTGATCAAAGCCGTGGTGTTGATCCCATGTTATTCCTGTGCCATCGAGAGTGTTGCCTTGCTCACGGTCACGTGTTCGTAACATTATTATTTTGTCCACAGGTATTTTGTCTTAGTCGAGCGACAATCTAGACCAAAGATATGAGGAGGATTTTCATTGAGTAGGGGGGAAGAATGAACCCCTTTATTTATTACGTAATTATTTTTTATCATCCTGCTACGTGAAAAGGGTCAGCTTTACAATGCAGTTCGATTAAAAAAACCATCCAGGTGCGACAGCATCTCGGGGACACTGAGAGTGTTTAGTTAGATAAAAATAGAAGCGTTTTGTCAAAACAATATTCGTCCTAAATAAATGTTGACTTTACAATGAACCTCGAGAGAAATATTACTGAGGAATTGTTCACTTAAAAGTGTGCATAAGTGCACATTGAAGGGAACATTTGGCGTAATGCCTGGAATCGGCACTCCACGATCAGATAGTAGTGAAGTGTAAGTACTGATGCAGAGCTGGCTCTCACAACAACAACAACAACTGTTTATTCTATGGGTATTCAAACAAATGTGTCTAAAGTGTTAGGAATCTGTTCAAAGTAATCATAAATAATTTCAGTTTTTATATAACAAAAATCATGCTACTTCCATCTATCAATGCTGTACAATAATTATATGCATAATCACATCATGGGCTACACCCTTTTCATAGCCGTTATTAAGTAAATGAAACTATCAGAAAATATAAATTAATAAACAAATCAATAAATTGTATAAGAGCAAAAGGTATAAATAAAGAAGTTGTCACAACAGAGGTAAAGAAATGATGTATGTTGATAGGCATTGCCTCAACAATATGAAATGCATTCTAAAGAACGTGTAAAAAATTTAAATCTTCATTGAATTTCCATCCCATAGATGTATATATAAGACAAAGACCCCCTTATTATCGTAACAGACTGTTGGGGAAAGTGCTGTTTGCTTGTACCTATGAATGCCAGCACGGCACACAAGGGGGTGGGTGGCCAGAAAACAACTTCTATGAGCGACATGGAATGGGAAGGCTTTCATACATCCTTAGATTAACAAAGGGCTTATAAATAAATCTGAACTATACTTTCATTTATCCACGCAATAAAAACTATTTCTTTTATTTACATGCTTCAAAATTCTAATCCCAATTAATTACGATGAAACCCATCACAACGAAACGTGAGTGCTGGCTGGAAAACAAACATATTTAACATCACACACAGAGGTGTGCATTGTGTGTATAAAGGTGCTCAGCCTTATGCAGAACACGAGCTCAAAAGAACTGCTCATGTGGCCAATTTTTCATTTTAGACCACCAACTCGAAATAGGGAGCATTAGACTTTTTTTTTTACACGCAGTGCACATCTTTGTCGATTTGTTCAATCGGCTCCCAGAAGCCACCACAAAAACTTTGCACAGTGCAACCCCTGTCCCCATCGCTATCATCACCATCAGCATGTTCACGTGAATCAGGGGATGATGTACGTGAAGATGATGTACGTGATCATAGATTTCAAGGCATTTAAAAAAATATTCCCACGTCTGTTTCCAAAGAGCATCCCATCTCCCTAAATATAAATTCCTTGTCAGGCCACACACTAATACCGCACCTGGACGCCACAAAACTCAGTGCCCTATTTCAAACAGGGGGTTGCATCCAGGCATTACAGTCTAGTCTTAAAACTTTAATGTTTAAAATGTATCTTTAAATAATTCCTTGAAAATTCATTTCGATAAAACAATGGAAGTTTTAGTCCTGCTCATCTTTCATGAAAAAAAAGTTTTCATTTTTATATTTCCCATAGAGCTGTGCCTGGTGTCGGTGGCGTGGGCAAAATTTTGAGATGCCCACATCATGGGATCTCATTCGTGCCACACGCTGCTCCAATCGCTGCACCTCCTCTTCCTCCCTTTAAGAACCATCCCCATTGCCCTCCGGCCACCGACTTGTTATTAAAGTTCATATTTAATTTAAAAAGCATTGAAAGAAAGTAAGAGTACATTTACACTAGAATATTATAATTATTAAACATCCCCAAAAGTGTCTTACCAGACCTGGCTGATATTGCGTTTTAGTATCGTGGTTAAGGTAGGATATTTTGAGGCCTGGCTGGATGAATGGAATAAAATATATGTGAAAGTTCTATGAATATTTACTTGGTTAATTTGAATTTTTGCTGAACATCAATGTTTAATCCTGCCAAAATATTAAATTGTGTTAAATTGCATACATTAAATTCATACACACAACACACATTGGAAATTGCACAGTAAACCATGATGTCAGACAACTACGTTTCAACGGTGAAATGACATGGTGTATGTATCACAAATAATGCTTATCGAACAGTATCTTTTGCACGGATTTTGAGCGGCGGTACAGTTGTTAGCACACCGCGCTATGAACCCAACGACCCCGGTTCAATTCCAAGCCACGGCTAAACATCGGTGGCGAGTAGCATGAGAAATCGTGCTTCCCTTCCCTTCCACGCACCCACTCACACTGATCGGGGTTTTGGTAGAAACAAAAACTCCTCCTCTATCACTGGCATATCTTGGAGAAGGGCCTTCATCCATCGGTGGATTAAGAATGACTGGAACTTTTTTTAAATCTTTCAATCACGATAAAATATACAGGAAAATAGTCACTTTCGACAAACAATTTCATTTTGTAGAAAATCACAGGGGTAAGCAGCTTCCGCGACTGGCAAATCGTGTGTCCATTCAAAACACATTCCGCTACCCAGCATGAATAGCCGGTATAATGGAGGCTGGGGGAGAAGGGAGATGGGATGGAGTCTGGATACTACACCACCCTACTTAACAAATGGTGGCCGATGCCCCTGGGAGATAACAAGATTGACAAACTTGGACATCGCATTCATGTTGTTGTATCTCTCGTTCTTTTTTGGTGACATTATTGCCGATCCCCCCCCTCCACTTTCTGCCATCTTCTTCCCCACCTCTTATATTCACTGCTTCCAATCGTTACCCCCCCACCAATCGTCACCCCCCCACCAATCGTTACCCCCCCCCCCCCACCGATCGTTACCCCCTACAATCGTTACCCCCACCATGGTACCGCAGCGAGCCCAGACACCCTCGTTCGTTTCCTCATTTTTTGAGGGAGCATTACGCCCGGCTTTCTTACAAACGTTATCGGTTGTATTTGCTCTACTCTTGAAATCCCCACTAAATGCTGGGTTCTTTAATGATGTTGAAAAAATGTTCACGAAAAAAAATGTCCGCGATGTCCTGGCTGCTCCACCGTTCCTCTCAAATATCGTTCATTATTAATCTCCATCCCGCGGAGCGTCGCATTGCCGGATGATCTGACGTTCAGTACTTGGCTCGTTCATCTGTTCCTAAAATATTCAGGTTCAGTAAGAAGAGTTTTGGAAACGGGTGAAGAATTTTTATTTTTTATCCAACACTGCAGTTAAAGTCAACAGAAGTCGATCTGGATGTCTAGCCCAGTAGAGCGTGGGGTAGTGCCCATCTCCTCTTCACAGCCCTGAGCCAGTGGCGGACATTCCACATTCTTGTGGCGACAACCACAGTTTACCTCCCCATGAATTGAACACGCAGCTTTTCACTCCCAATATTATGGTTCGTAATTAATTGTAGGGGGAAAAAATATTTGGTCAGATCGCGTAAGTGGAATGGGTGTCATAAGGCCCGAGACTTGACGACATTTTTACAAATCTTGCAACTGCCAAAGATGCAGGTTGTAACGATCAGTGAAAGGTCCGTACCTAATTCAATGAGCGTGGATCGCTATCCAGTACCCGGGTGGTGCTGCTGAAGCCGTGGCAATTGTCACGTTTGTTCACATGACGACTTTATTCATTGGCTCTGTCGGACGGGTTTACGAGGCGCATTTTATTTCTGCGATGTGACCAAAAAAATATAAATAATGAATCTCCCCACGAATTGGTAATTATTTTATTAATCCCAGAGGAATGACAGACTTGAGGTGACGCCCCCCCCCCCCCACCGACTCTGGTTTGAACGCGCACCCTTCTGTCTGCTAGCCCACACGCTCCCTGTAGCACCGCACCACTGGCCGGGTGAACCTTCCGGCACCATCGTTTTCGTGTCGCCAATATGGTCGGGCAGCTCGGTGTCGCTCCCCGATGGCCATGGCCCTGTGTTTTGTGCGACGGCGAGTCGCTCGGTTTGGCTCAAAAGCGAGGCGGTGGTTGAAGCGAAAAGAACTGCGGCGGGAGTTGTTTGTTTGTCTGTTTGTGGTGCCCCCGCCCGGCGCCGGTCGCAGGAGCTGTTGTCGGAGCGCGAGGGTTTACTATTTCAGGGGCTGCTCTTGCTTCACAGCATCGCGGGCTTCCCCCCTGTCGCTTGCCCGCGACACGTGGAGTGCATCCAAATGATGCGCAGTCCTCCTCGCCTCGCTTCTCCGCCCGCCCACCCCCCGCCGTTGTTCCTCCGTGGACAAAAAACAAGGAGGGGGCGGGGGGGGGATGCAACGTGGATTTTTTTTTTGGCGGTGTTTTTGGATAACAAGAAAATGCTTGCACGGGAGCCACCGGGTATACTTTGACTCGCGGAGGTAATGATTTTCAGCTGCAAGGAAGAGCACCTTTTAACGGTGATTGTGGTCCTCACGTGGATTTTTTTGAGCCGCCCAGACTGTGGAGAGCTCTGTTTGTGGAAGTGAACAATGGACGTGCCAGCACTGAGGGGTAGCAGACACATCTCATTGAACAAATTCCCAGGAGTGTACTTGAACACAGTAATTGACACCAAAATGCCTTACCCGTTCACTTGCAATAAGGCGCGAGGTCTGGCTTCATATTTCATTGCACACCTGGATGCTCATTGTGGTGTCCAAGGGCAACAACGGTCACGAGGTGAAGTCCATGGGCATGCATGTGTCGTCGTGGTGCGGTGGTCCGCGACGCGAATTGTCGTCGTACCTCTCGTCACTGCGACTCGAGTCATGAGACCCACGATGAATGATTACAGTCCACCGCAAGCAAACGTATTCTTTAAACGTGGACAATGTTGTCTTGTTTGATCATAATCGTGAAGTCATCACCATTATCACTACCACTGCCGTGAATCACGACCGACAATATTATCGCTCATCAATGTTGTCGCGTTGTTTACCACCGGCTGTACTTGTCACCGTAGCAAAGCGTCACTTATCACCATCATCATCACAATTACAATAGAGGATAGCCGTTCCATCACCGTCCGGTACCAAGGGATGGCCAGATCTGTCTGCGCTGTGCGCCGAAACCACGGACAGCACCTTTGTTCCACAAACCCACGGAGGTGTCAAAGGTACAATGTCTCGAATACATATAACTTGGCGTGCAGCCTGGAATTGTTTAATGAGTTTGTCATTTTTTTATAATGGTACGCGCGTTATGATTGTTAATGTTCCACCCGCGTCGTTGATTTGCCGATTATTATCATTTTTAATGTAATTTACATTACTTTCTGGAATCAGTCAACGTTATTCAATACAAAACCCGCTAAATTTGTTTACACTTTGTCGATTACCCAGAACAATGCACTGACATCTCACCTGGCAAGGAAGGTGAACAATGCATTGACATATCACCTGTCTAGGTAGGTGAACAATGCACTGGCATCTCACCTGGCAAGGAAGGTGAACAATGCATTGACATATCACCTGGTAAGGAAGGTGAACAATGCATTGACATCTCACCTGGCAAGGAAGGTGAACAATGCATTGACATATCACCTGTCTAGGTAGGTGAACAATGCACTGACATCTCACCTGGCAAGGAAGGTGAACAATGCATTGACATCTCACCTGTCTAGGTAGGTGAACAATGCACTGGCATCTCACCTGGCTAGGAAGGTGAACAATGCATTGACATCTCACCTGTCTAGGTAGGTGAACAATGCACTGGCATCTCACCTGGCTAGGAAGGTGAACAATGCACTGGCATCTCACCTGGCTAGGTAGGTGAACAATGCACTGGCATCTCACCTGGCAAGGAAGGTGAACAATGCATTGACATCTCACCTGGCAAGGAAGGTGAACAATGCATTGACATATCACCTGTCTAGGTAGGTGAACAATGCACTGGCATCTCACCTGGCTAGGTAGGTGAACAATGCACTGGAATCTCACCTGTCTAGGTAGGTGAACAATGCATTGGCATCTCACCTGGCTAGGAAGGTGAACAATGCATTGGCATCTCACCTGGCTAGGAAGGTGAACAATGCACTGACATCTCACCTGGCAAGGAAGGTGAACAATGCATTGACATCTCACCTGTCTAGGTAGGTGAACAATGCACTGACATCTCACCTGGCAAGGAAGGTGAACAATGCATTGACATTTCACCTGTCTAGGTAGGTGAACAATGCATTGACATATCACCTGTCTAGGTAGGTGAACAATGCACTGGCATCTCACCTGGCTAGGAAGGTGAACAATGCACTGGCATCTCACCTGGCTAGGTAGGTGAACAATGCACTGGCATCTCACCTCTCTAGGTAGGTGAACAATGCATTGGCATCTCACCTGGCTAGGAAGGTGAACAATGCATTGGCATCTCACCTGGCTAGGAAGGTGAACAATGCACTGGCATCTCACCTGGCTAGGAAGGTGAACAATGCATTGCCATCTCACGTCCCCTCTGAGGACACTGCTCTGGTGCTGTGGCCAAGCGTCCCCACGTGGAGAGTCGAGCCAAGCCCGACGTTTGCTCCAACGCATTGGCCCGCTCCAGCTGCTGTCCCCGGCACTTGGCTGCTGCCTTTGGCCGCTGTCTCTTGCTGCGTTCATGCTCACCGTCGTCTGTCATTATGTCCCGCGCACTAAGAGAGAAGAGTTAAGCTTGTGCATTAAATTACGCAGGCATTAAGATTGATTCCTGTTGTCTTAGCCTGTAATTAGCCCGGTGATTTGTGTATTGGGTTTGTTAAAGACTCGAGTAGGAAGCGATTCCCAGTGCCTCTTGCTGTGATTAATTAAGAGTATTCTGTGCCTGTATTTTGCTCCCTTGTTGCTGCCAGTTGCAGAAGCGAGGTTCGCTGTGCAGAGCGTACATCAAGGTACCTTCCCTCGACTCTCGCCGTGTTTGTGTCTTGTCTTTTTTCTCTCCGTGGCGTCGTGACAATCAGCATGATGCAGCGAATGACTTTTTACGAATGGCATTTGGCCGCTTCATAATCCCCCTTTGTTGAATGAAAAGAATGGATTTGCTCATCATAAACCGCCAGTGTCTCTTGGATCTTCTGTGGCACCATATGTCTGCATGCTCCACTGTCCCGAGCACCTCCCCCATTCACCTTACGCTCCTCGCTAAAAAAAGGAGTCGCTGGAAGCTTCCGCGTTCGCGTCTTGGAAGGTGTACGGGATTTCCGATGCATGCGGTGTGGAGCTTGCGTGCTTACCGACTGTCACTTGGCGCTCTCCTTCTCCTTGAGTGCCGTGCGCATCCAAATGGAGTCTGTGTGCACCAGCTTTTGCGCACAAAGCGAGCCGGGGATGTTTCGGCGTGCCCCGTTGCTGTGCGCGGAGCGGGGCGGCCGTCAGAAGTTTTTGTCTCCTCCCCGGTGTCGTGTCAGCCGCTTGGCCCAAAGCGCAGGCGGGCATTTGTACGGTCGAGAAGTATTAACGTTGACCCAAAATGCTCCACCACGCTGGTGTCTGCCACCTCACTCCGCCATCGGCAATCTTCCCCCCCCCCCCAATTTGACAAATCAAATATCTGTTCACAGCAGGTCTGTTGAAATATTTTTCGGCGCTAACTTGATAGAGGAAAAGTGTAAATACATGTTTAAACAGGATGTAGCGTCCACCGATCCGTGGCGCTGACCGTCGTGGTGAAGTATGGTGAAACAACTGTGGTGGTGGGTACAGCATGGGAGAGGTCTTCATCCAGCAGTGGATTTGCAATTGGCCTGTCAATTATGATTATTTGTTTGCAATGTATACATTGCTAGCCGCATTGCAACTGAAAATATCTCGTTTAACTTCTTCGCATTCGCACAGGTGGCATTTGAATGGACGGAATCATGAATCAATTCTTTACTTGTTTAAAATATTCATGCTTTATCGAATCGCAGTGTTTTCTATAGTTATACAAATTAAGATCGATCCCAATGGTGGGGGCTGGTTACGTCCAAGGACACCCGCGGTTGACTTCCCACAAAGCGGTACCTATTTTACCAACCCCCTAGGGGCATGACAGGCAGAGTTGACGCCAAGCAGGATTTTAACTCTTGACCTTTTGTAAGTCAACTGCTTTTCCTGCAACACATTAAAAAACACTTTATATTAATTATACTTTAAAATGTACCGTTTAATTAGTGCAACAGACTTCAAATTACCTGCAAGACTGAGGCCGTAACCTCTTCTCCTTGGCAACTCTTCCAGATGTCTTTGTGTGTGTGCATGTACGTTCGTATGCATGTACGTGTGAGCATGAATGTGTTGCCAAACAAACAGGTTATGTACATGCATGTTTGTGCAGCCTGCATGCTTGTGCATGTCATTATATGTGCAAGTGGATATGCCCCTTTTGTGTGTGTCTTTGTGTGCATCCGTGTCTGTGTCTGTGTTTGTGTATGCATGTGATTGTGTGTCCTGGGGGAGCGGCAGTGTAGCAGTTAGCGCACCTCGCTACGAACCTGGTGACTCGACTTCTATTCCATCTCATGACCCATAACAGTGGCAGATATCTAAACCAGTCCTGGGCCTTCACTTCGTCAAAATAATCTTTAAATGAGGAAGTGGTGCGGTGTGTAAAAACATCAACACTGGGGAGACAAAGGCGGCTGAGCATGGTGTTGACCACTCACCCCCTCGTGCGCTGTGCCAGCCTTCGTAGCAGCTGCTTGCTAACAGCTCTTGCCCCACCGGTCTTCTAAAGGCTATACGGGGGATCCTTGTGTTACGAGGAGCAATTGATGCATTGTTTCACACACTGCACTACCATCCTTATCCATGGAGGTTCAATTCCCGGTCATAACTAATGTCGGTGTGAAAATATTAACAAAACTTCCTGGGGCCTCCCTTAGGTCAACACAGCCTTAATTGAGTGTACAGTGCCGAGTGCAAAGGTTGCTGAGCATGGGGCCAGCCACACCGCTCCTTCATGTGCCCTGCCAGCCTTAACCGGTGCTCTCTAACAGCACGGCATTCTGCTGAGTCTGAAGCGGCGGTGAAGTGGGCCATGAGCAGTGAAGCTGAATGCAGGAGTTTAGGGTTAAAATCCAGCAGTCTATCCGAGTTATTTCTGCGGGCATATTAACCTTAAAATAGTCCAGACTGTCTCCTTCACGGTGGGCATGAGAGATCCTGGAGTGTCCTGAACAAGAGTAGGGCATTGTGTGTTGGTGTCACGGTCCAAATTTAATCAATTACTCAGTTTGGATATACATAGCAATCATTGTCCCCCACTCCTGCGAAAACTTTGCAGGACCTTTCTAAAATAGAATCGTGAGACTCGGTGAGGCTTTCCCACCAAGAATCATAATAATAGCATAAATGACACCTTTGTATTTGTGTCTGCTTTGATGGCCCCTAATAATTTCTCGCTAGCAACAGCAGTCAACGTGTTGATTGTATCTTGCGGTCTGTACACAAGTCACTTCAGCTAGTAACCATAACTTCAAGAGGAGTTAGGCCCATGTTTCTGCTGTGACTGGCAGGTGTCTAACAAGTGAGTCTCATTGTTTGGGACGATTTGCAAGACACTACTCAGTACCACTGCAAAGACGTCATCTCTTCGCTTCAGCCACTAATAACTGGGTTCACATATTTACACAGTGATCAGCGGACTGCACGATGAAACCGGCGATCTGAATTCGATTCCCGGCCATGCGCTGATATTGTTTTGAGCGATCTCAGAACTGGTGGTAGGCCCCTTCGTTACTTCACAATCCACCACGTGGTTAGGTCTTCATCTAGCCGTGCATTGACAATGGCTATGAATTATCACACGTAATTTTATAAATATTTGCTGCTAGTGTAGTACGTAGCACACTGTGTAACAATTGAGCACAAATCTAGACTTTTTTACTTCTTAATAAATAACAATATCTTCCCCAGTGCTTAGTGTGTCCGGTGCAACTGTACCATGTGGACTTGTGCCAACCTTCCCTTAGACTCGTGGTGTATTTGTCATTTTTGGAGTTTTACCAATTCCCGTTTTTCTCCTTCAGCCATATAATGTGAAGCCTTAAGTCTTATCCAGCTGTTAGTTAAATGTTTCACTGACACAAATTGGGTCACAGCTGCTGTGGCTGCTGCAAGGGACAAAGGAAAACTTGTAAAAAAAATTTTCAAGTTTTCAAATTATATCAGTTTCACAGAGGGGAATTATTTTGTAGTTTGTAAAACGTTTTTCCAAGATTTGATTGATCAAGAACACATATTAACAGTATAATTGTGACTCATTCCCACGGCGCCTTCGACAATGTAATCTGCATGTTTCCCCGAGTTATATATTGATAGAGGACACCCTCGTAAGAATCTGTTGTAAATTAATGTTTTCAACCTTGGCCACATTAAATTAAATTTTGACATCAAATTGCGTCAAATTAAGTCAGATAAGTAACCAGGGTGTCGTTAATTACTAAGTTATAGGCTCCGATTATAGGCCACTGTTTTTGTCATCCGTTGTGTGTCGTGAAAATATGCCTATGCCCCCCTGGCACAAGCAGTGGGGGAGGCAGGGCATCTCAAGGTGATTTGGTATTGGATAGTCTTGGCTCACTTCTCCATAAAATACAAAGCACTATTTTCTGAGATTCTGCAAAACAATATTGCTTGCGAATCTGCTATTGTACGTGGGAAATCATTGGTTTGGTTTATTGTCATGAACCTGGACAAAAGTTTGAACCAGACATTGCAGCTGTAAACACATTCATTGAACCCAGGCTTCTTCATGCCTCAGTTGTCATGCTGCTCCATTACCTTTGGCAAATTTGAATCTTGTTCCTTCTGCTTTGTACTTGGCAGTGAGTTACAATTAAGATGTTTCTTTTAGCTGGTCTGCAGTGGGCTACCCAAACTCGTATACAATCATTCACATTTATACCACAGCAGATTTCCTTGAATATTGGAACTTGTTTTGTATCAAACTATTATTCTTTTATGAATGAGCACCATTTAAACATGAAAAATTGCATTTTAGCTCAACCTTTCATGAAAGCTTCAGCTAAATTATATTTACCAATCATCACGATTCAAACGGGTAGCTACACTCCCTGAAGCTGATTATCCCTTGATGATTCAGCGCCGATAAAAAATCTTATTCCTTGCTGAGGCTGCATTTAATCAAAGCCACGATCTGAATTATGGCCACACAAGCAATGGACGCTAACTCCATCAAGCACATGCATCGTGTATCCAGGCGATTAATTTCTCGCGGAATATTTTCCGGGTCACTGGTAGACCGGAGCAGACGGCACCCGACCAAGCAGTAGCCACGGCCACAGCGACAGGTCGTACTGGATGTGGTACCCAGACAGACCTGACTGAAATTAAACCTTGTATGTAGACATAACTAGGAGGCAACGAATCGAGTATAATAATACAAAAGAGAGATTCAGAGCTATGGGGTTTTGCCATTGCCCACGATTGAATAATCGCGCGATGGCCGTGCGTCAGTAACCGCGCGTCCCCGCGTTCTGTCGCCAACGCCCGCGTCTCGGTCCAGGCCATCGTGGAGGCTGTGAACAACCTGCTGAAGCCGGACGCCCTGCAGTCCTGGCGCGACATGAACGACACGGAGCAGACGCACGCCGCCACCATGATGGTGGACACCATCGAGGAGGGCGCCTTTGTGCTGGCCGAGAACCTCATGGAGCAGGACAACGTCTCCATTGCGACCGACAACATCGGTAAAACGTTGCTTGCGCGCCGGCACGTGTGTCGCGAGGTGCTGGGGGGTTCAGGTTGCTGTCGTCGATGTTGTAGTTGTTGTCCGAGTAGAGATGGGAGTTGCTCATGGTTGGGGCAGCATCAACAGGACCACTGTGATATCCGTAAATTCCCAATGTGCATATCGCAGTGCGACCGCTCACCTCACTCACCTCACTCACCTCACTCACCTCACTCACCTCACTCACCTCACTCACCTCACTCACCTCACTCACCGCACCGTGTGTCCACTGCTGCTGACCATACCCTGTGCGGCTGTTTACGCATCTCACTCACCTCACTCACCTCACTCACCTCACTCACCGCACTCACCTCACTCACCTCACTCACTTCACTCACCACACTCACCTCACTCACCTCGCTCACCTCACTCACCTCGCTCACCTCGCTCACCTCACTCACCTCACTCACCGCACTCACCTCACTCACCTCACTCAGCGCACTCACCTCACTCACCTCACTCACCACACTCACCTCACTCACCTCACTCACCGCACTCACCTCGCTCACCTCGCTCACCTCGCTCACCTCACTCACCTCACTCACTGCACTCACCTCACTCACCTCACTCACCTCACTCACTGCACTCACCGCACTCACCTCGCTCACCTCACTCACCTCGCTCACCTCACTCACCTCACTCACCTCACTCACCTCACTCAACTCACTCACCTCGCTCACCTCACTCACCTCGCTCACCTCACTCACTGCACTCACCTCACTCACCTCACTCACCTCACTCGCTGCACTCACCTCACTCACCTCACTCACCTCACTCACTGCACTCACCTCACTCACCTCACTCACCTCACTCGCTGCACTCACCGCACTCACCTCACTCACCTCACTCACCTCACTCACTGCACTCACCTCACTCACCTCACTCACCTCGCTCACCTCACTCACCGCACTCACCGCACTCACCTCACTCACCGCACTCACCTCACTCACCGCACTCACTTTACTCACCGCACTCACTTCACTCACCTCGATCACCTCACTCACCGCACTCACCTCACTCACCTCACTCACCTAGCTCACCGCACTCACCGCACTCACCGCACTCACCTCACTCACCTCACTCACCTTACTCACCGCACTCACCTCACTCACCGCACTCACCTCACTCACCTCACTCACCTCACTCACCACACTCACCTCACTCACCTCACTCACCTCACTCACCACGCTCACCTTTCTCACCTCACTCACCTCACTCACCGCACTCACCGCACTCACCGCACTCACCTCACTCACCTCACTCACCACACTCACCTCACTCACCTCACTCACCTCACTCACCACGCTCACCTTTCTCACCTCACTCACCTCACTCACCTCACTCACCTCACTCACCGCACTCACCGCACTCACCTCACTCACCTCGCTCACCTCGCTCACCTCGCTCACCTCGCTCACCTCACTCACCGCACTCACCTCACTCACCTCACTCACCTCACCATTCATCTGCCGCCGCTGCTCACTGTCACGGTGCGCCGGTCCCGTTCCCCGCACGACTCTGCAGTGCTCTCCATCTTGGTGCTCAACACGGAGGGCTCTCTGCGTGACTACTCCTTCCCGGCGGGAGGCCAGGACGGTGACTCCATCGTTCTCTCCGCCAACACCATCAAGCAGAACAGCCGCAACGGTGCGTCCGGACCCCCCCCCCCTACCACTGCCCCCCCACCGCCCCCCACCCCCCACGGCAGCCTCCCAGGTGGGGGGTGGATGAATAAAAGGGGGTGGGGGGGGTTGGTTACAAACTCACCTGCATAACATCGCTCACTATTCTCTCTGACATTTGGCGAAGCTAAATGACGTAGAATTGTATTTGCTCATTTGAGCGTGGAGACATTTAGACTCGATAGGATTTTTTTTGTTTACCTTCTTAACGGTCGCTTTGTTTCCCTTTGTATTCGAGTTAAATGTCCATGAGGGTGTTCGTAATCGGAAATCTAGTGCATAATTGCTTAATTACTTCGAGAATGAAAAACGGTGGGTTGTCTCTTGCATGCAATATTGCAGGCTCTCAAAATCACCACACTCATCGACTGCATAAAAAATATGATAAACATTCTTCTGCAATCATCAACATCATAGGGTTTCCATTGTAAATAGATTTGCAGTATATAAACATCATATATAAGCACTCCATTAATTGGCTGTACACATCTTAGTATATAGTGGACTTGCAGCGCTTGGGCTTTGTGGTTCCTCAACAGTTGTGAGAGTTGCAATTTGCATAAATGAGGACGCTATATTAAAGTTAACATGATTAATATTATCAATCTCATTGTCAGAGCCGTTGCAATGTAAACGTACTTATAGAATCGTCGCCGTCATTATCGTCTTGTTTTACACGGCGTTTTTCATTGTATGTTAACAAAATTGGACTTCTCAAGAAAAATATACAAAAATTATCTGAGCATCACGCAATATCTGTTCAGCATTGATTGACGGTTAAAACAAAGATTTATGTTGAATGATGGGAGCTGGGTTTTAACATTTGTTAAAGAGTGAAACGGCTGCAATGTGGAACGTGTTTTCTATTCCGACACGTAAACGTCGGACCATTATATTTTCATGAATATGGTCCGTCAACATTGCCTGCACAACATATTTTTGGGGAATGCGGGTGATGCATAGGTAATGCTCTCTCGGCTGCCCTTTGCGAGTCATTCCTGCTGTTATCCACTCGGCAATCACGGACTCCAAACACAATTTGTTCGTGGCATAAAAGGAAATTAATATTTTATTAAACCATGATGGTCATGTTCCCCCCTCCCCTGATTTACACAGCATATGGCCGGCAGGTCGCGGGACCAACACTGTGCCGCTAGGTCTGCATACGTTGGGAAGAATTGGAGCGATGTCGGCAGCGCCTGACAGTCAATCATTGGAACAAAGGGCGTTTGTGCGCAATGCGGACAGCTCCGTGAATATCTTGTTCCCTTCACATTGTGCGTCGTAGATTAAAAGAGGCACACGACCCAGAAAACAATTAGGTGCCGTTGTATTACATCAAAACGAACATTGATTTGTGACAATGCAGGAATTTAAATCTGCTCAGTTGGCGACGCACTGCTCTGTTAGTCGATCGGCAGGTCTTGCGTGGTGGTGGGGTAACGTGGGGCTAACTGCTACCTCTTACCAGATGCCTGGCCGGTGTGGCAGAGTAGGCGGAAACACCCTCCGTAGGGGTTCTCTCGAGCCACCACTAGTGGGGAGATCCCTTCTGCCCAGAGTGCCATCAACGAGTAATTGCATGGCTGCACCTTGTCCTCGTTTTTTTTTTTTATAACTACAAATTCACGTCACAAATGCCGGTTAATGTACGAGCAGAAGTCGGTTTTCACATTCCCCTCCTTGCGCTGAGCTCCGTGGAGGACCGTGGAGCAGCTGCCACGTTGCACCGCACCTTGCCACGGCCGCAGACGTCCCACCTCGTGAATCGAGGCGATAGGAGACTGCTCCTGCGTAGGGTTTTGCGGTCGTGCCGATTCGCTCGCCCGTTGTGGTTTTCGTGTTTTGCACCGCAAAATTCGTCGACGCAATAGCCAAAGTTTTGCCCCAGTGCATCGAGAAAAACTGCAGACGTCACGCCATGCTGGAACAAAAGGTTGGGGCATGGTGACGAGAAACACGTGGTACAACGCGATCGCACATCGGAGGGAGCTGATAGGGCGTTACAGAACTAAGAGGGCATTGTAGGAGTACAAATGAAATGCGCATGGCCGTCACTTGAATTTCTTTTTTTTCTGATTAACAAAGCACCAAACTCGTGTCAGGCTGATATAAATCCTAGATATGTTCGTACAAAGTAACAGATATTTATTTTTGGGTCGCATTTTCGTGGCATAAACACGTCGACGAAAGGAACAATGCAGCCGTGCATGTGCTTGTGATTGCATGACACCTCTGCTCTGTTTATTGCACCTTACTTTCTCATCCCGTATCACAATATATTTTCCAAAACTGCCGATTCCAGATGACACTGTCATTAATATTTCGTCTCGACTGAAACTCATCGCTGTCAGAAGCAGGAGCAGCAACAGGGGTTTTTCCCGACACTGGTCGCTTGAGGATAATTACTTTTGCTGGCGGTGTCACGAGACACTGTCACAGCTGTCGTGTTACCCACCTGACCTTGCTTATGAGGCCTGCACTAAAACGCGGTGAAACGTGGACCACTCCGGTTGGCACCACGGACCTTCTCTGCCCACGCATTCCCAACGGTGGCGGTGGTGACATTGGTGGTGGGGCAACAGGTGCATTTGTGCCGACGTGAATTTTTGACAGCTCCTGCATCCTTAACGATCCGTCCCGCGAGCGTCATATTGCGGGACAACGAAACGGCGGGCGACACGAGGTTTGCGTGCGCTGGGTCTCTGCAGGCGTGACGAAGCTGGTGTTCACTCTGTACGACAAGCTGGCTCCCTTCCTGAGCACGGAGAACGCCACGGTGGGGAACGCACTGAACAACGCGACGGGCCAGAACCACTCGCTGGCGGTGAGCTCACGCATCATCTCGGCCTCCATCAACAAGGAGCTGAACCGCGTCTTCCTCAGCGAGCCCGTCGTCTTCACGCTGCGCCACAACCAGGTGAGGAGGGGTTGGGGGGGGGGCCCCCCTCCCCCGCAGAGCGTCGGCGTGGTCGGTGTTTGGCGCCGTTCTTTTAGCGGAAGGCTCTTCGCGAAGGCGCGACGTTTCACAAACGCGGCGTGCGCTCTTTTCGCGGTTGGGGGGTGATCTTGCCACGTGTTTTCCTAATCAAGTGATTTGCGCGTTTTTAAATACAGCTCGCGTAGCGAGGTCTTTCACGTCTGCTGTGAAGCGGGGGGGGGGCGTGTACTTGTGCCTCACGCACTGCGTGTGGGGCTCAGACGGTGAAATCCTGCGACAGGTGCGAACGCGCATCCACATTCACTTTGACGTCTGCCCATCGACTCCGGTGCGCACGTGGGCAGGAGAGAATCACGGTTGGTGGCCGCGAGCCAGCCAACAGTGGACATTCCACATTTGATGATGGGGACTCAAACTCTACATCGGACAACGAGAAATTGCGAGCAGAGTCAACCTTTTCAATGTGAGACAAAGGCTCGAATCACATGACAACCCATCCCTGAATGTGATTTATCCTACTCGTGAGTATGAAGATGTAAAGCTGTCAAAATGTTTTATTTAATTGCAATTCAAATTATGAAACATTACGGGTTATTATGTACCGCCTGCCGTTGCACAAAACTTTCAAAGCGATGAGAAATCGTGCGAAATAATTTTAAAAGATGTGCTCCCCCCCACCCACCCACCCACCGCTCGCTTGCATTGGCGCCGCCAATTGGTGACAGATGGATTTTTAATGAGTAGATTCTCACTGCTGATTTTCTTAATCATAACGAAGATCTTCACACATTTCAAGTTCCACAGCATTTATCGTTGAACCAGCAGGAACGTCATCGTGATAAAACCCAGGATCCTGGCAGAGCCGATTGCTGCTCTAAAAATAGCAAAAAAAGGTGCTCTACTTTTATATTAGAACAGACCCAACCAGGAGCATGATTATGCTTTAAGATAACACCGTGTTTAATTTGCTTTGAAGTGTGTTTTATTTCCATAGCATAAACTCGAAATATAATTAGTGAGTTCAGTTATCAACGTCCATTTTCATGTACGGTAAAGTAACCAAAATGCGTCCGTGATATCCGCAGCCCTGTGTTGGTGGAGAGAATGGTGAAAGAATTACGTAACCCTTTCAGAAGGAGCGAGCAATGTGAATGTTGGGTCAGGTTGGTGAATAGGAAGCGTTTGTGTAATGGACCTGTGCCTTTAGTTTGTCAGTGACATACAGATACGGTGTGGGAATACCGGATACGTTTCACGGATAGACAGAGACGTATGAAAAAGTCTGGTTTTAAAAAAAACTTTGCAAATGATCATGAACATCAAGACATAGACAATCTGTGCTTTGTGTATAACTGTGACCATATGCACAACCTCGAAGAGTTGTTGTAATTCAGGGTCACGATTCAGTCCAAGAATCAACTATTTTCAATGCTTCCCAACACGGCAGCAAGAAGCGTCTGGGTTCGTGTTCTGCATGGGTCAACTCTGGGTTCTCCGGTTTCCTCTGATTTCTAACTAACAAAAACCCCCATAGAATCTGACTGGTATCGCCAAAAACATCCCAATGCTGAAAATGTACCCTCAAATAACACAATAATGATTACACATAGCAGTAACATTGCCCCCTGCTGTGAAACACTTCATAATAATTAGATTGAAAGCATGAATGCATCGGTTCTATCAATCTGTCTGCATGTAATATTGGGTGACAATGATCAAGGGTTTAGCCATAACAACAAAAACCCAGTGCAAAAGTACATTTGCTTTGCCTGCCAAGATGATGACGTCATTTCACATGACGTCATCTGACCACATCTCACATCGTGCGAGGGCTACCTTCGCTAATTAAACACCGACGAGGACGGTCGCACAGGGTGAACAACGCAAGGACATGTGCGGCGCATCTACGAACGCCCTCGGTCTCAGCCAAAGCCACCAGCTCCGTAGAACTGCATGTGTGGGTCACGTGGTCGTGGCTGGGGACCATGGAGCCTGAAGGGGTTAAGACAGAACACAACGTTGGAACGCGTTACCGAAGCTGTGGGTGTGCACGATTTGCCTTCCCTATTTGTACAATGTCTTGAGATGCGGTTTGCATGTAGACTCTGCATATATTTAGTTACATTGTGCTGCGTTACTGGACCAGCGGTGTGTGTCGCGTTGTATCTGGCTCTGAAATGTGCCAACTCGTTAACGTAGCCCCCCCCCCCCCCCTCCGTGTTTGCATGCGCGGATGGTGGCTATTGTCGCGGTAATCAAATGAAGCGTTCTACGGCAACAGTGTGATTTAAGCTGGCATAGCGTAATTTGACAGCGTTATGAATACGGACATGTAGACTAACTGATTAAATTTCGGCATATCTCATTTTTTTATGGGACTGAAAGTTTTGCTCGTAATGAATTGCGCTTGCGGCGACTATCGTACCTGTGGGTGATTTAGGAATGTGCGCTGCTTACGGCAACGCATTACACGCCGACACATTTTCCTTTGCACGTTAAATTTCAGCATTGAAGTCCCCGTCTATAATGAACGGGCTTTCTTAGCACATTTGTTTTTATGGAGTTTTACCCAGGACTGTTGAGAGTCTTCACATTTATCTTACAAAACGTCCACGTGATACGCGACAAATTCTCTGAGGATTTGCAAGTCATAAAGATGGATTGTAAAAACATTGACAATTGCGTTGCATCCACATTTGTAAAACACACTCTGCGAGCTAAGGACACATTGTGGAAAGCCTCATGGCCATTTTTGTAACATGCTGAACACTCGTTTATGAAATTCATCGACGAGCCGTAATCATTTAGCTGAACAGCAATGTTTAACATTTGACAGCTTCTTTTCCTTAAACGTATTTTTCATTTATTTATTGTGCATTGGAAGACCACGAGAAACTAGGGAGGAGGCCTCCGTCCAGCAGTTGACTGATGAAGCGTGATGGTAATGATGGCAATGATGGCAATGATGGAGATACTGTTGCATAGATAACCGGTTGCGGTAATGTTGTCGTGGTTTTCAGTCCGATGGAAACTTCAACCCCAACTGTTCCTTCTGGAACTACTCGTCGCACACGATGCTGGGCCACTGGTCGAGCCACGGCTGCAAACTGCTGTCCACCAACGCCTCCCACACCACCTGCGCTTGCAACCACCTGACCAACTTCGCGGTGCTCATGGCGCGCCGTGACATCGAGGTACGTCCACCCATCATCCCTCCACCTGGTAAAGCCACGGTGGCCAGAGGTTAACTTTCCAGGACGTCGTGGGTTCCATCTCGACTCTGACGCCTGCTGTATATTGGGAGTTTGCATGTTCTCCCAGTGGTCGCGTGGATTTTTCTCCGGATCCGCTGGTTTTTCCCTCCACGTTTAGAATCAACATGTGTTTAGGCTATTTGGCTGCTGCCATAATCTCCACGTGATAAGCCACTTCGTTGACCTATCATTTGTGATAGCCAGGTTTTTGTTTAATATAAAATGAGCACCAGCATCGTCGATCCAAAGCGAGCGCTTTGGGAAAACGGCGACGTTCCCAATAAATGTTTAATCGCCAACCTAACCATTGAACCACCCTGGATGAGACCTGCCCTGAAAACCATGGTGCACACCGAACCAAGTAACCAGAGCACCCTTGGCAGACGTGGTCACCGCCTGTTCGAGTGAAAGTCGAACAGGCGGTGACCACGATGAGAACCTCAGGAATTCAGTGGAGGCTTCCCCCCCAAGGCTGTTCGCTCTGACTTTGAGACCTGTACACATGGATGTATGAGTTGGTATAAAATGCCATACGTGACAGGAATTGTCATTGTTTGGAGAGATTAACCCATGCCAGGAAAATGCCATTGCCTCCTCCACCACCACGTGTGTGCCACCCACGATACTCTTTGTGTCTATGCGTTAGTCTCAACGCCAGGAGTACTCCAGCATTTTGGAGAAAGAGGTAGCTTGATCACGTACGCTAGTTTGTGAAACTTCTGAAGCCGCTCGGCTGATATAAGGTGGCCAGGAGATAGAAGTCTGTTGCGGAGCTGCGGGTACCTATCCCCGTGTAAGCGTGGTGGGTGAAGTTACACATTTTATTTAAAAAACGAAATGGCCAAACATCCCAATGCAGGACCCTCATGAAAAATTATAATTGAGACTCGGTGAGACCTTTTTCTGGATAAATAAATGATTGCTGTATTATTACACTTTGAATTGATTATTCCATGTCTATGTAGATATTAGTTAATTGCCAGTGAGTATATTTGTTTTGTTATCCAGGTAAGATCCATTGAGTATGAATATTGTTCTGCGGGAGGGTCCATCATTGGCACGTGTAGCCCGTTCGATGTCAATGAGTGTCAACGGGTGATTTGCTCAGCGTGGGAGGGGGCAAATCGAATGCCCTGACAAAATGCACCACGCACATTTGTATGTTGAATTTAGCACGGTTGGCTACGTACAGCGTGAAAGAAGTTCAACATACATACACACATGCTGTGTACATAGCCAACCGTGCTAATCGGAGGTGTGCATGTCAGGGGGATAGCAGTCAAAGCCCCGCACAGCAAGAACCGACCCGCTTGCTGTACTCGCTTCACCCGGCCGTCTGGCAGCGCAACCTGTGGGTTTGTGAGATCCACCTCCTTTTGCCACCAAAATTCAACTCATCATTTGATGATGATGGTGCTGCGATGTCAGCAGTGCACAGGCACAGGTAACAAAACAAACTCATCACATTCATTAATAACACTGCAGCCTTAATAAAAGGACAAATATTTAGTCGTAATAGATGTTTTTGGGTTATTATGAATGTGATCTAACCCAAAAACCTTTCTCATGAATAATTCTGGGCGCGAAAGCCTACGTGTTAAACCGACACGTATTTAATTGGTGATGTTTCGGGCCGTGGCCCTTATCCATTGCATGTTTTCCTCCAAAGCGGGGGATGAGAGGCGAGTGAGTCATCAGTATTCCGGGTGGGCGAGACAGAAGGATGTCTGCTTGTGTGCTCCCTTCACTTCATTAACGGCTCTGCTGCTGCTCTGTGGACTTTGCTTGCCAAATGAGCCCATTAAGTTGGCTTAAAAAGTGTAAAACCCCCACGGAGGAGTTATTAAGTGTGATTTTATAATAAATAAGAAGCAAAAAAAATGACTGGATCAGCGTGCTACAGCTTAGTGAGGAGAGCACGAAACTTACTCGGAAGATCACGGGTCCAGAGGCACAATCGGGCGTTCACCTCAGCCCACTGGAGACGATACGAAGGGCGAATGCTTTGTGAAATGTCAACACTGGTCGTGCGACGGAGAAACTGGTCTCCCGACCGTAGGTCACGCCAACCAATGGTGGTGCATCGCGCGCTTTCAGATGCGCTTCTGCGGCCGTCTGGAACGCTCTTCCTTCCGATATTGGGAAGCCACTGGAGTTATGCAACTTTTCAATCTACATTGACAAACTCATTTGTTTAGAACTGCTTTTTGTGTTTAGTTTGTTGTCCTTCCTCCGCACCTCCTATTAGCACGGTCGGCTACGTACGGTGCGAAAGAAGTTCTACGTATATACAAAGTAAAAAAAAAATTGAAGACGTAATCTCCCTCCCTCCCCTCCCTCTGTCTGTCTTCACACAAAGAGCCTACGGATACCAGGGACCGTGAGCACCAAACGTCTGGGTGTGTGTGTATAAACACACATTGATGCAATGTGTGTGTATACACACACATTGCATCAATGCGGGGAATGGTAGTGTAGTGGTGAGCGTGCTGTGTTACGACCCCGTAACCGGAGTTCGAATCCCGTTCAAGGACACCGCCAGTGACGATTATCTGAACCGGTCTCGGGCCTCCCCTAGGTCGACTCAGCCTCAAATTAGTTAATGGTGCGGTGTTTAAACATCGACAATGGGGAGACAAAGGCGGCCCTGTGTGGTGCTGGTCACCCACCCCTTCGTGTGTCGTGCAGGCCTTCATAGGCGCTCGCTAACAGCGCTCGCTCCGAGTCTGCCAAGGCTCTAACGGGGGGATCTTTGTCTTTGTGTGCACACTCCCGCAAAGGCTTGCTGCTCAAGCCTGAACTCTCACTTGTGGACTGCACAATTGCAGAGCACACATTACACAGCCAGTGCAGACTAGATAGAGGGACCTTTTTAAATCAGAGCACGTGTAAGCTAAGGCTGAGCAAATGGGCTATTTAATTGAACACAGCTACCAAAGGGGGTAGGGGACACGGAGGAGGTCGTCCTGGGGATAATAAAGCAAAGGGGCACCCACGTAGAGTCGAAATGGAGTCTGATATTGTTAAACCTGGAATAGCAGAGGAGTCGAGGATTGTCCCTACGAAACCTCTGCCCAGTTTCTCTTCCGTCCCCCGTCATTCCATTACATCCCATCAATCTATTATCGTCCCTCCCGATATATTATGCACTTTTACAAGGATGTATACCATGCCGTAAAACGTATGTTTCTCCCGTCTCATTCAATTCCACGGTAGCAGTTGTGAGCAAGGGAAGAAGATTTACGTGACAGTGTATTTAATATAAAGTTAAGCGTAATGCTTCAAAAATATTACTCTTCTCTCTTTCCGCTTGATGAATGAAAAGTGCGATAACTACCGCAAACGAGTATATAAATATGTTTTACTCCGAAGATGGGTCCGGCCTTTATTACATTATTTAAAGGCCGCTGCTTGATTGTAATCGCGCCTTCCATCTTGCACAGTACACACGTGCCGTCACGGGCCTCTTGCGCATCCAACTGCAAGCGCTCGCGATACCCACCCAGGAGGGAGGATGCCTGATAGGTGATTCACAGCGTAAACATGATAAATGGACGGTTAAGACACATCTGTCTTTATGAGCCCTGAGATTGTGCCAGGAACTGTTGCATCAATACATCAATAAGCTGACATTCTGCACAGCCTAATGTAATAATTCTGGGCAGGGCCCTCAAGGTGACTGATGGGGTGGGATGTGATGGCATTTCTATTGCGCTCATTGAAAACCGACACCTGTTACTGGCGATACCGCTTTCCCTCTCCGCCCGACTCCCCCATCATTGTGCTTGCAGATCACCACTTCATCTCCTACGGATTGGCCTCGCCTAATTTATTTGTGTCACTTTGGTTCTCCATAATTAGTACATTCGTCTTGGCTCTGCATCCTGGCGTTGTGCTCACGATGTTAATTACCTCACCTGGTATACAGGAGGTCGTGGCTTCGATCCCGACTCTGACACCCGTATATTTGGAGTTTGCATGGTCGCGTGGATTTTTCTTCGGGTGCTCCGGTTTTTCCATCCACATTTAGAATCATCATGTATTTAGGCTATTTGGCTGCTCCCATACATTTCGACACGATAAGCCACTTCGTTGAGCTATCATTTGTGATAACCAGGTTGCTTCTGAAAAATAGCTATGTAGCTCTCAGTGGGCCTTACCTGGTGAAAAAATAATAATAATTAAAAAAATTGCGCTCGAGTATCCGCGCGCACTGCGTGTCCTGACCTTTCCCTCGTGTTGAAACGTCTGCCTTTCGTAACGTCACGTGCACGCTGTCGCACGCAGTGTCCCTGTGTTTCTTCAGCTGCACGCTTGCGATTTTTGACATTTTGAAACACAGAGCAAAGATGGCATTTCACTGGGTGGTTACTATACTGTCGCGAGAGGCTTGCAGGTTCAAATTCCCCTCCGGGTTCAAATTCAGGCCATCAGTCAACAATGGTGACCTTAAAGATAGATTGGCCCCCACCATACAAATGTGGAGTTTTTAAAAATTGCAACAGCACTCCCGACAGAGATTAGCACTACTTAAATGCTCGCTTGAGCAGCGAAATATTGTAATTTTGAGTTGAAATCCACAGCACTTTAGCCTTTCATTAAAATTAATGAAGGCATTGAAATCACGATTCCCGTCTGTCTGGCATCACTCTAACGGCCGTTATCCTGAACCAATTTTGATGGAACATGAATCAAAATGTTTGGTAGGCTACGGAGAAGACCCATTTTGTTGGCCAGAAAAATCTACCATCTTGGCATTGGTTATGCATTTCCATTTTTCCAAATTGGTTTTTGCCATAGAATTGTGGACAATTTCACCATCGGCTTATTACTGCCCGAGAATATTGGCACAGCCCAAAGCTCATTTAATCAGAAAGACCCTTTGATGTGTTTTTTGTTATTCGTCAGCTACAATTCATCATTATCAGCCATTATCTATCTACTGCTGGACAAAGACCTCTCCAAGCCATCGCCATCTCTCAATATTCTGTGATGGATCAGTGCACCGAGCACCCGCACTCGAACTGATTACATCACTCCATCTCCTCAGTATGAATCCTCTCGGACACATTCAATTCCTTGGCTGGCACTCGATCACTCTTCTTCACCATTGGCTGTCATCTCTTCCAGCCAAGATGTGTCCTGCTCAAGCCCGCCTACCCACCTTCATCGTTTGCATTGCGCATTCAACCTGTTTAGGTTCTCCAATCCTCGCGGTCCTCTGTCTGGCCTCTCGACCTAATAATTCCCAGCATGCATCTCTCCGTGCTTCGTTGCAAACTTTTTATTTTTTTGTTTCTCTTTTCTTCGTTAATGAGCGTGTTGGTTGTTGAACCATGCGTGATGGCAGGTATTAGCAGGCGCTGATTATAAGGCTTCTTCCTGACGCGCATCGCGTTGTTACTTCTGTTCTTAAGTTCAGCTTCGTTGTGCAGTTACGCTGTACAAAGTCGTGGTGGGTACACAACCGCTGTCATGTAGCCGGTTTGCTTAGGGCACTGCCTCGGGTGCTCTGAATGATCCTAAAATATATTTTTTTAAAGTAGACTTTTTTTTGCTTCATCAGACCAATAGATTATTTTTCAAAATAATTTTAATTTTTTCTACATTCAAGTCCTCAACTATAATTGAAAGTGAAATATCAAATAAAAGTAAGTTTTTATATAGAAATTCAAAAGCACTTGAATACATTAGAACATTTTCTAAAGTTTAGATACCCAGTTGTTTTTGTTTTCTCAGCAGTATTCAGTACTCGGATTGCCACCGATACATGTTTAAGAATTAATAGAATAATAGCTAAAAGTAAAAATATTTTTGTAAATAATCTTCATATCAACCACCTTTTCTTTTCTGAAACTGTACCTCCACAACTTCTAGCAGCTCGGGAATTGTATTTCCTTACGGAATGTTTCCCTCTGGTCTGGTACCGATGAAACAGTGCATGAGTTGGTGTGTGCTGCCCGAACAGACTTATTTATAATGGTGGTGCCTTCATGAGCTGGCCGGCTGACTCAGAGGACAGATTGCTGACCCAGGGCCACCCAGTTCCTGTTTTGAAATCCAGACTGCCACCGGTGATTAAACCGGCTTCTTCTCACCTGCATCGAGTTGTGTTTCTGCTTCTGCCTCCACCACCAGCGTCGTGACCAATGGCCCGTGTGCAGCATTTCGCTAAATGACAACGTCCGTTTGCCCGCGTGCCGCTCTTTCCCCACCCGCGCAGTACGGAGACAAGGCCCACGAGCTGCTGCTCCTGGTGATCACGTGGGTGGGGATCCTCGTGTCGCTGCTCTGCCTCGCCATGGCCATCTTCACGTTCTGCTTCTTCCGCGGCCTGCAGAGCGACCGCAACACCATCCACAAGAACCTGTGCATTAACCTCTTCCTGGCCGAGATGCTCTTCCTGCTTGGCATTGACAAAACGCAGTACACGGTACGAACGCGCTCGCGCCGATCCAACCGGAACCGCTTCGATTTTTGTAGGGACAGTCCTGGTGGTTTCACAAAATCTGTCCCGGTGCACCCTAAGCATTTGTGAAGTTTGGGAATGCATTCCCCTTCACCGCTCCTCACCCCCCCTCAACCCCCTAACCCCTCACCCCCCCCACTAATTTAAAACGTTCTGGTTTCATGACGCGGGCGAAGGGTGCGGCTACCGGGGAAGTGGGTGGAGCTCTTTCCACAGTGCGCAGGGCTTTCCAGGCAGAGGGTAAGGCGACTGGGGAAGTGGGCTGGTGACGATTATCTGAATCGGTTCTGGGCACGCCTAGGTCGACTCAGCCTCAAATTATTACCTGATGCGATGTACAAATATCACCACTGGGGAGACAAAGGCGGTCTGGCATGGTGCTTGCCACCCACCCTGTCGTGTGCCGTTCCCGCCTTCATAAGTGCTTCTCGCTAACAGCACTTGTCCCTACAGTGTGTTAAGGCTATGCGGGGGATCTTTGTCTTTGGGGTTGGCAAGGGAGTAGGTGGGGTCTTTGAGCAGTGCTCAGGGCGAACGTCGGAGAGAAAGGACAGGACGCTCCGTGTGGCTGCGTAGGAAATCTGACGGCTCGCCACGTGCTCTTGCTTGAGCCTCCCGGAAAATGTGGTCGCATTAACTTTTACTCAGTACGCTGCACATAGTCCCGGCGGGCACGCGACTCGGTAGTAGTTCACCGCGGGGCTTTGCGGGTCGTTCCTCCGGCAGATCGTGTGCTCGGTGTTCGCTGGGCTGCTGCACTTCTTCTTCCTGGCGGCATTCGCGTGGATGTGCCTGGAGGGAGTGCAGCTCTACCTCATGCTCGTCGAGGTGTTTGAGAGCGAGTACTCTCGCCGCAAATACTTCTACCTCTTCGGCTACGGCCTGCCCGCCGCCGTGGTGGGCATATCCACCGCCATCGACTACACAAGCTACGGCACCGCCAAAGTGTGAGTGTCGTGACCCTGCCCTACTCTGAAGTGGCTCTCCGACGCGTGTATATGGCTTTAGCCGGCATGCGGAGCGATACGTCGGACATCGTGCCGAGCGGCACACTATCAAACTAACTATAAACTATTTTCATTTCACCAGGTTAGGCCCACTGAGCTATATAGTTATTTTTCAGCGGAGACCACAAATGATAGCCCAACACATTGGCTTATCATGTGAATATTTATAGCAGCCAAATACTCTAAACGCGTGATGTTCAATCTAAATGTGGAGGGGAAAACCAGAGGACCCGGCGAATATGCGGCACGACTCGAAGACTACGCGTCGGAGAACTGTACGGATACAACCGCCTGCGTACAGTCATACACATTTCAACAATTCTGCAGCCAGTGCCACCCTGTCAAAGTGTTGCTGTGTTCTTGCAATAGCCACTGATAATCATATCCAGTTTGTTGTTTGACTTCTGTCTGAAAACAAAGTTGGCGCACGCCGACGCCGGATGGTTCTCTTGACAATTCAGTCAGTTGGTTTGTGTTTGGCACATCGAGTCGTTTGGGATGCTCCCACTGATATCCGAGGGCTAATAGATGTCCTAGCCTGGCGCTCTGAGTCCTGGGTGCACGACATGATTAATATTAATGCCAACTAGATATGTGGTGATCTCATTAATATAGATGATGTTAGGCAGCCAAGACTCAGGTCCCGTCCAGTGGCCGGTGTCACCTGTGACGGCACCAGCCCGTGCCGCACACTCGACTTGAACGCCGAAGTGAATGGGCCAGAGCACGCTCATGGATTATTCATTGATGCGCGACTGCATTACATTTTTTTATTATCATCAATCCAATTTGTTTCGCGAATAGCACAAAAACAGAATTTTTAAATTAATATTTTATATACTCTTATATAATGCAAAAGTTAAGGTGCAGTTCTGCAAATTACCAATGCCATCTCTGGCATTAAGACATTCACTAGAGGGAGCTCTAGATAACCACTCTAGAGGGTGTTTGGCCTACTCATCCACACTGGCCAGATATATTGAAAGAAATGGGAGTACCCTCCTAAGTGGCGGTGACATCACGCGGCACTTGTGCCAGGCTAGGTGCACTTTGAGGCCACGTCAAGTGTCGAAGGCTCGCTGGCAGGTCGTCTGGGGACAGACTCAGCAGACGCCATGAGTTGACTCACTCAGATGACTGGCATATGCACCAGCTGTGCTCTATTCTATTTCGGATTCATAAAGTGCCCTTTCGAGGGCGCTTTACAATGCATATGCTCCCCGCAATACACCACCACACACGACCTACCAATCTACGGACTCCAGTCCACCCATCTAACTACTGCGGAAGAGTAGGCCAAATACCTTGTTCTCGAGAAACTTTCGGGAGCTCCCTCCATTGGAGGCCCTTCCTGCGGCAGTGCCAAGAGCAAACTTATAGCAGGGCTACGCTTTTAAGTTTTCCGCCACAAAATGTTTACTTGAATATGAGTTTACTTGTCTCCCTTCGTTTTAGTGGGTACTCCGCAGTGGTACAAGAAATAAATAAAACTTTGCGTCAATGTTCACGCCCATATGAAATTTTAAAAATGTTGTCTTTGATGTGGCAACATCGTTTCAAATAACACGGCGCGCTTGTTAAGCACCCATAACATTACCCGGCAGTTAACTCCCCATTCATTGGGGTTCATCTCAACGGGACTCTGAAATGTTCACCCTTTATTCCTCCTTGTCAATATTTGAGCAGGCGTGCCACATAATTCGCCAGCCTGAAACTAAATCACAGCGCGTTTATTTGGCGGTTTTATGAGAGAGAGCGCGAGACCTTTTTGGGAAGAGGTTTACGTGGCGGCGGTGGTGGCGGCAACAGCCCAAACAAAAAAATCGCTCATCGCGGCAGCTGCTTTCCAAGTTCAGAGTCGCCCTCGTAAAGAATCGTGTCAACAAAAAAAACGCAAAACAAATAAGGAAAGAGACATCAGCGTAGGGTTTATGGGAGGGCATCTGCCGGCAAAATTTTAATTGCAATTTTTTTGCACCCATTTAAAAAGAGTCTCGTCACCTTTGTCATTAACGTCAAAAATTAATTTCCAAAGTAAAATTTAATTTTACCTAAATGTTTTCTACTCGCAAAAAATAGTCATTGCCCTTTAACATTAGACTGTGTTGTATTTTTTCAAATTACTGGCGAAACGTCGTACTCAGATTGTAAATGTTGTGGCTTGGCTCTCCAACACACCGATGTGCTGAACTAGTAACGAATTGGCACGTTTTGCTTACGTGACAATCCTCACCAGTTGGCTGTGTCGGGTGGTGGCGGGTTTAACGACACATTTATATATTTACACGCTCTAACCCAAAAAAAACTGTATTATGGATGATATTGGGTTTTTTTTTATTCAAGCTTATGCAATACTGCCAATGCAGTCCCTTAATTTGAACATTTTTGTTCAGTCTGCTTATATTTTTGTAGATTGTTTTACAGGCACGTAGTGTCTACACTGACACGACCGCCTTGGCCTTGGTGGTCGTGCTGCCGTGTCGATCTGTGGAATATGTTTGGATTGTGCTTCGTGTGTTGTACGGCACGATGCCCGACGTTTTTGGCTCAATGTACTGGAATCATTTTCAATGACCGAACTTCCATGCTGGTTAGCTTGTTTGGTAACTGCAGTTCAGTTCCTGAGTAAGCACGCAGAACGTGGAGTGAAATCCCAAACAGCACGCGGTAAACCTGAAAACGCATTGGAGAGCTCTGGGTATTCTGTACTTTTAAGTGCTTAGAACAGTGGTCCAATAGTTTATAGGGAATGCTGTTGCTAATGACATCGGGAAAATCTGGCAACATTTGATTTAACTATCCAGAAGCGACCGGCCACAAATGATAGCTCAACAAAGTGGCTTATCATGTGGAAATTGTTAGCAGCAAAATAATCTAAACGCATGTTTCTAGATGTTGAGGGGACAAGAAACTGCTGATGGGCAGGGTTACGTTGACTCCTCTGCGGCTGTTCTCTTCAGGTGCTGGCTCAGGACAGACAACCATTTCATCTGGAGCTTCCTCGGGCCTGTCGCTCTGATCATCCTGGTGAGTAACGGCGATTATGCGGGAAGAATTTGTCGCTTTTACATAATCATTGTTCCCCTGCTTTTACTGCTCGTTACGGATCATTGCTATCGTTCGTCTTGCCCACGTGATTGCCCCCCTCCGCCTCCCTCTCCCCCAGCCAGCCCCCTCCGTGATCGTTTTTCGTTGAGGGAAACTTAGCGCGAGAAACGGTACACGCATCGCAACAGTTGTGTTGACATCCTCTTTGTTTACATGGGGGACTGACGCCTAACGACTCATTCCTGCGTGCGATGCTCTCCCAGAGTCTTTTGCATCCCCTCCCGTGTCCACCGGATGCCTGACTCGATCTCCTACCATGTGACCGACCAATTTTCATCAGATCTCAGAATCTTAATCGGGATTGAGCCTGGATGATGTTTTACTATTTCTATCTAGCGAAGTTTATTTTACCATGGTAAGGCCCACTTAGTTATATGGCTCTTGTTCAGAACCGACCTGACCACAAATCCTAACCACAAATCCATACCTCCGCTTAGCACGGTTGGCTACAGCCGTGCAAAATAATTTCAACATACATACAAATGGTAGCTCAAAGAAGTGGCTTGTCATGTGGACATTTATAGCAGACAGATACTCTAAACACACGTTTCTAAATGTGGAGGGAAAACCCGGAGGACCCGGGGAATAATCCACACAATCACGGGGAAAACATGCAAACTCCAAATATACAGGCGTCGTCAGGGTCGGGATCGAACCCACGATCTCCTGCATACCAGGCGAGGGAGTTAACATCTCAATGTTCACATGGTGCCCTTTGGATGGGTGATCACCATGCATGGCAGGTTGTTACCGGCGACGCAGCACAGGACAGTGCAGCAGAATTCATTGTTGTACTGTATTTATGTGGTTCCGCAACTACACTTTCCCCACCTTTGCCAACCAACAAGTGCATGTCTGCCAGATAAAAATACATTGAAAAAAAATTACGTGGTGGTTGTAAGAGGGAATAAAACTGTTCACACCGACTTAACTAGGGTGGGTATGGTCGAACTGTATAGTGCATTCGCCATTTGTTGCAGATGTTCGCAGTTTGAACCCAGTGGCCGACCTGGTTAATACTGCCGGTGTAATAACTGTAAATACTTGTCGTCCATTTCACAGCGGACATTAGAGATCCCGTGTTGTTACTTTAAAAAAGTAATAATAACAACAGTAGGCCACGTGCGCTCGTGTCACGCTCCACATTTGCCAGATTTGAATTACCCACAAAATTGCTCAAATTGGGTACAACCCGAAAGAGAAATGTCACGCCCCACCGGCAGTAAATGCCCAACTGCGGAACACCTTCGTGTCGCGGTAGCCTTGCGCTGTTCAAGTGACACCAATCCCGAATGCCCTCCGTTGTTGCTCCCTCGTTAAATCGTTAGCAAGGTGCCGAGCGTGCCATCTGCCAAGTCCAACGACGGTACGGCGCGTTCGTGGTAAACACTTCGGGGTGCGCGCGCCAAGCCACAACGTCGACACGGTATTCCGCGACGCAGCGTGAATTCGAACCGCGCCGCCAAAAACGCCGTCGTCCGCAAAGCTCCGCGGGCGCTGTCGACGAGGAGTCCCGGGGCTAATGGGAAAACAACGTCCTGGGGATGGCCGATGTTCACGAGGTCATCGCCCGAGTTGCGTTATTAACACCGCCAAGAATGCGAGCGCCCCGTCGAGACGTCTCAACCCCCCCCCCCCCGCCGCCCCTCGGTAACGGGAACACTTGGAATCTGCATTCGATAGGTGGTGACCTCGGCGTTCGCACGGGGACGATGGATGCAAGCGTGTTTCTCTGCCTCCCCGGTGCATACCAGACGTTGTCTAATTGAACACGGTCAGCATTGCAAAGTAGATTAATAAATGCTTTGTGCAAATTTCGTGCAACAAAAAAATATGACGTGCCGTCTTGGCGGCTTGTGAGTGAACAATAAGTAATTAAAGGGGAGGGGGGAACAGTTTGCGGAGTGGTTAGCGGCGCTGCGCTCGCCCACGGCTAACATCAGTGGCGTGTCTCTGTGCTCGATGTGAGCGGTGCCCATTTCTGTTGTCGGTCCAGAAACCGGCGGTGAAATTCCACACTCCTGTGGCAGGGACTCGTCTGTCTGTCTGCAGGATGAGCAATGTTTGGCACTCTGGTGGTGCTGGCCGTCCAGCATCACGCACTTATCCCAAAAACTGACTGTTAAGGCTATACGGGGGATCTTTGTCTTTATCTCTGTCTATAGATAGCATGTTCATTTTTCATTCCGCATGAACCTGCGTCCGTAGCGTCGCTTGGCATCTCCGGGACCGTCATACGAGGCGGCCTAAGTCCTAGGAATCCGAAGCGAATGAATGAATGACAGTAAAATGGATGCTAGAGGACTGGGTGACATTACTCGGCGTCACGGCGATGGCTCGTGTGCGGGAGCGACGCCTGTGGAGGTGAGGCGCCCCGGCCGGTGCCCCTCCGCCCTGTTCCCATAGTAGCGTGCCCTCAGGTCCCACGGGACCACGGGACGTTTGCGGAATAATAAGCGGGTTTAAGAAAGTATTCTACGTGGAACGGCCCCCTTGGCGGGTGCCCCCCCCCCCACGGTGTCGCGAATGTGCTTCGGATAACAACGAACGGTGGCCGCTGTGGAGATAGATAAAAAAAAAAGAACGCCAAAGGTGCTGGCCCTGTAGTTTGTAGCTCACGCCACGAGCGGCAGAAGGGCCTCCGCTGAGTTAAGAGAGCTCTGGGGGGAGCCCCTCTTTGTCAAGGGTATCTTGGACTACTCTTTCACGCTGGCCAGGCCTCTCACCATGCGCGACGTGCCAATCAATCGACTCTGGTGGCAGTTGCAGATCATTATTTTTTTATTGTACCAGGTAAGGCCCACTGAGCTATACAGCTCTTTTTCACAAGTGACCTGGCTATCCCAAATGGTAGCTCAACGAAGTGGTTTATTGCGTGGAAATGTATTGCCGCCAAATACGCTGCACTACGAACCCGGTGAGTTGAGTTCGATTCCCGCTCACGGCCACCAACAGCAGTAACGATTATCTGAACTGCTCCTGGGCCTCTCCTTGGTCGACTCAGCCTCAAATGGGTACCTGGTGCTGTGTAAACAATTCCACGGGGGAGACAAAGGCGGCCGGGCGCGGCCCCTCATGTACCGTGCCATCTTCATAGGTGCTCGCTAACAGCATTTGCTCCAAAAAGTCTGTTAAGGCTACACGGGGGATCTTTGTTGCTTGTTAACTGTATGGCTGGGAATACACAACATCAGTGGAAAGTTGTGCTGTCCTGGGCTTCACTCAAATGAGTGCGTCGTGCTGTATGCAAACATCAGCGCTGGGCAAGCGGGCTAATGTTCGTGCTGCATGCCCCCCTCGACAGGAGCTTGCTAACAGCACTTGCCCCTGCATTCTGTGAGGCTAAACCGAGGGATCTTTGTCTTTTCTTTTGTCTCTGCTCACTCTAGGTAAACCTTATCTTCCTCCTTATAACGCTGTACAAGATGCTCCGCCACTCGGCTCCACTGAAACCCGACACCAACCGCCTGGAGAACATCAAGTGAGTGTCCGTGCACCCTACCCCAGACGCGAGCAACCTCCGCTCCTCCAACTCTGTGGCTGACACATTCGAAAATGTGCGCAACAAATCACTCAAATGGGATCATGTGTAGCAGCGATCATCACCCCCCCCCCCCCACTGGCAGACTCATACCCCAGGTCATCCTTGTAAATCAGACTCATCCTGGGTCTGTCGAGTTCTCACCGGTGTTGAACAGAATCAACTTGAAACTTGTTGCAAAGGCGCGACAACGCGCGCTCTGCTCCCTAGCACGTGCCTCCGTGTTGTGCCGCGCGTTGCTGGGCACGGCGACTCGCTTGCAGCGCGCGGAGCGGAAAGCGTTCGGACGTCGTGCGGAGTGACGCGGCATGACAGCGACAACCCCCCTCGACCAGCAGCCCCCCCCCCCCCCCCACGTGCCCTCGCCAAGCCACTGCTCGTGCAAGGGCCTTGGGGGACCGTTTCTGTAACGAGGGCCGATTGGGACTTTCTTGTTTTGTCAGGACACGTAAACACGCCGCACACACAGACCTCGGCCACTTGTGTCACAGTAAGAGGCCCTTTCGAGTGCTACATAAGTGACTGAGCGCGCTAATTTTAGAAGCACAGCATTGTTGCCAGATCGACAATATTTCCCTCTCTGGTACCCGATGAGTTGTGGCTAAGATGCCTGGAGTGATGGATAAATGTCACTTGCGGGACTATTCAACATGTGGTAGGCATCGTGTGGCCGTGCTTCATATGAATCTTAAGTCGTGGGCCATATCCTGCCTACAAGCCATGGTGGCCCACCCCCTGGCTGAGATTAACACCCAGCAAGATAGCAGATAGCCAGACCAGGCCCCTGCCTTGTGTCTCATCATACAGAGTATATATACGGAATATCAATCAAATTGTGCCTTATTCAGATAATAACACCGGTAATTGTGGACTTTATTTCACGAGTTGAGAATGCGTTGAGGCCATAGTCTCCTTTGCCAGGGTGAGCCGGGCTAACGAGTAAGAGGAGCGCTCTGCAATTGCTAACGTGAAGGGCTGAGCTGGGACGGGTAAGCATAGAAATTCGCTTGCACGGTGAATTCGGAGTTACGTAACAATAACAAAGACATCATACTGTTATGATGAATAAGGGCACATTTACGGGATGCGTGTAAGCATTGTGCACGTAAGATTTGGAAGTGGGTACAATTTATGCAAACGGTACACGAAAAGTTATGTTTTAGCGAACAGAACAAACAAAACACAAATAAACTGAGAAGCAATTTGAACGAGATGTTTGAAACGAGATTAAAAACAAAGGCTCTATTGCTGACTAAAATGAGGAGCCCAAATTGTGATGGTTTATTGAATCTCTCGAAGGGGTGTAAGGGGGGAGCGGTATGAATCTTGGCACTCATTATGTGTAACATCAGCAGTGAAACACGTGGGGAGTGTGTATTGCTGAGGGCTGTTTACTACACATTCGTACAAACCTAACACGTCGGCATCAGTCACGACGAGCGTGGTTAAAAATAGGTTTCTGATGAGAAGATGGAACACAGGGAAATTTGTTTATGAGCATTTGAAGTTGGGCCAATGCGTGTTGCGCGATTAGCGGCGGTTAATTTTTTGTTACATGAGTTTCCCTGTTTTAATTTTTTTGGCACATTTTCTTATGGCGGTTCTTAATATTGATGCGCAAATCCCCATCGCTGAAGCCGCACTTTATTTATCCTATTCTTTGGGTCTTTCGGTAAAGTCACAAAAAACTACGACGTTTCGATCGCAACATAAGCGGTCGTCATCAGGTGGAGAAGAAAGAGGGGTTAGCATCTAAAGGCAAATTGTTTATAAAGGTTTAAAATGGGCGAAGCCCAAGTGTCAGAACGGAGTGGACGGGGCACAAGGGCCCTGGGGCAGCATGGGCGGAGGAGCTTATGTTAATGTCAGGGATTAAAAACGGTGGGCTGCTACATGTAGGGCAGAGAAGGCTATGTCAAGGTAAAAAAAACTTGTGAGCAATGGACAGTGCTGAAATGGCAACATTACGGCCAGTTATGACTTAAACTGGTTGATAGCGTCCTTCTAGTGATTGCTCAGTTTGTACCCATCTTGTCGCTTGAAATCGTGTCTATGTCTGTATATGTGGATGGCTTCATGAACGAATTTTTGTTGATAGCCAGTGGGTTTGCAAAGTACCTTCGTCTTAGAGAAATCAATTTCGCGTGAGCCCACCGCAGTCAAACAATGATCAGCCATGGCCGAGGTATTGGTCCTACCGTGTTTCAGATCTGCCTCATGTTCACGAACACAGTCCGAGACATGTGGCTTAGTTTCCCCAATGTAACTTCTGCCGCAAACACAGCTTAGTTTGTAGACGCCGGGGTATTTCATGTCAGGGATCACTTCCTTCACAGATGGGATCAGATCACGAAGTTTATGTATTGTGTTAAATCGAACCTAGATCTTGTGATTGCTCACGATTTTGGAAATATTTTTGGTGACCCCTGCTATGTATGGCAAAGTCTGTTGGGTCCTCAGATGGTTATTTCCCAACAGTTGGGGTGATAGCTTTATGGATTGTGTAGTATGAGAGCTTGGTGTACGTGTTCCAGTTCACCGGCTAGGTGATGAAATACTTCGAGCTCTATGGTGTAGAGTTTTGATGAGGGAATTCTTCTGGGATGGATGGTGGTGGGAGTCAGATTTGAGATAGGCATCCATATGGGTGGTTTTCCTGTAGACAGAGTGGCCCATTGAGGCATCTGACAGCTTGCCATCCTTTTCCACCTCCATGGTGAATTTAATGGCTGGATGTATGGAATTGATGTGGTTGAGGAATTGGTTCAGAGCTGGTCGGCCATGTGGCCAGATGACGAACGTGTCATCTACGTACCTCTTCCACAAGGACGGACGTAGAGTGGATGCCCGGATGGCGTCTGTATCAAAATTTTCCATGAAAACATTGGCTACAACCGGAGATAAGGGAGAACCCATTGGGGTACTTTCAACTTGTTTGTAGAATGTTCCATACCAGGTGAAGTAAGTGTTGGTGAGGCAGTGTCTCACCAGAGCCGGTACATAAGCATTCAGTCCTTGTTGAACCAAATCTTCAATGATTACAATGGTGTCAGGCACAGGAACTTTAGTAAACAAAGAGGCTACATCGAAACTAACGAGCAAATCACCTGGAGATAGTGAGATGTCCTTAATTAACGATACCAAGTGAGCTGAGTTAAGTAGAGCTGAGGCGGTCTCACCAGTGAATAGTTGTAAGGTCTCAGACAGAAATCGGGCCAGTTTGTAGGTGGGTGAGTCAGTAGTGGAGACGATAGGATGAAGGGTTGTACCTTCTTGTTTTTTTTAATCCCTGACATTAACATAAGCTCCTCCGCCCACTCCATTGTGACACTTGGGCTACACCCATTTTAAACCTTTATAAACAGTTTGCCTTTAGAGGCTAACCCCTCTTTATTCTCTACCTAATGATGACCGCTTGCGTTGCGATCGAAACGTCGTAGTTTTTTGTTATTTTCTTTGAACCTATCTACATTACTTTTTCCGAAAAACCCCAAAAATATGAATTCCTGCAGTCACAAAAGCTTTGATTCAAGATTTATTTATCCTCTGCTGTCGAAGATGCGGTGCATTTTAATCACACGTGCTGCAAAGTTAAAGAGGGCTTTTTGTTAAAGTTTGGTTTGTATCACCATACTACATCACCAAACGCTTGCTAGCATTAGGCCAAATATGACAATGGTATGAAATATATTTTCTACGCTTTGAAAAAAGACAAACGCGCTCACATCTGCTCGTGTTTTATTTCCTGCGTTAGAAGACCAGTCTCATTTTCTGCTCCTTGACCTTCTGGAAAACTATAACTTATTCCATAATCAAGTGCAAGAATACACACTATAAAAACGTAGCCAAGGAATGGAAGGCATCGTGGAGGATTGCCCGCCGGGGAGATGGAGCAATGAAATCGGTTTGCGTGCAGCTGCTATGTGGATGAGCACATCGCAGGACAGGAGGAGGTCGCGATGGATTGAGGGGCCCTTCATTCAGCGGGAGACCGACCGTGGCTGATGATGATTAGAAAATATATTTATACAGGTTTTGTATGTGTTGCGTGTCTTCTCCATGTGCCTGACTTATGTCGTTGAGTGCTCCGAGCCAAACGCAACTCGCAAACCTGCCTAGAGGCCCGTAAAATCAGTTCCACCAGAGAGAGTATTGGCTACGATGGCTCGTGCCAAACGATACGGCTGTAAACTGTAAATCCTCCGGCGGATGAATCGGGAGATTATTGCAATGCCGTGTCCAGTTTATGCATAAGACAGCGCTGCATTTTATGGGGAGCCATTCCTGTTTCAACTAGATATGCATGTTAATATTAACATGTATGCCAATAGCCTGGCTGTAAGGATTGCCAATGGCCCTTAATGTAGACTACCCTTTGTCACGTCGATCAAAATAATACCTCGTCGGGGAAGCACCATCTTATGTACGTGACATATGCACCAGGCCACACAAATCACTTTAAAATACAACGTCAATGAGTGCCCAACACAAACATTAATGTTGTTTGTTTATGAATGTCGAGCGTACAACCGCTCTACAGGCAATCACATGTTTATAAGATTCCCCATAACCAAGTCCTATATGTGTGTGTGTAAGTGATTTGTGAGCAGGGTCACGACACACAGCTATAATACTCCATCAGGTAGTCGGGGCGACATTTCTCAAGCTGGTTATCAAACGGTGCAAACCGACCGCGTGTGTATTTACAGAGGCTGCCGGGCTCGCACCGTGTTGCCTGGCAGCGTGCGCGTGTGTTGCATTTCATCTGATTTCACAGTGTTCTTTGTCAAGCATCTTATCATCGACCTCATCGGCAAAAATCTATCTACTGCTGGATGAAGGCCTTCAATGTCTTTCCACCATCCCTTGCGGGCCTGCGCGACGCCACGCGGTCCGTCTCGCTTCCTGCGCATTAGATGATCTCATCCGTTCCGTCTCGG